AGAAAAATATAGTTTCCTAAAAATATCCGGAAAATCTAATTATTAATTATTAAATATAATACAGTCCGGAAAATGATAAATACATAATACTGCAATCCGGAAATAAATATAGTTACTATTTACGGAAAATATTCAATATCAATAAAATACAGAAGTTTCCGGAAAATAATGTATTAACTAAATACTATAATACAATCCGGAAAATACTTAAAGTTATATTTATAAAGAATCCTTTCCGGAAAAATATATTCCACCATTCCGGAAGCTATTCAATTGTAAACATATATTTTTTATTACAGCTTCCGGAAAATAGAAAAAGAAAAAAGCTTTTCCGGAAAGATATACTCCATGATTCCGGAAGCTATACACATTCAATTATAATATACATATTTCTAGTACACTTTCCGGAAAATAGAATAAAGTCCGGAAAAGACTTAATTATAATAATTCTCTTCATTTCAGATCACTTCAACTCTAGTCAGTTATCTTTTATCCAACGGAATTGGATCAAATTTGGTTATACTTGTTTTCGACTTGAGAAATAGTGAAAATCAGCCCAGTATTAATGTTCACACATTGGCTAACGTAATAAATCTTTAAAAAATTCGTCCCAAAAATTCAAATTTTTAGAGACTAAATTCAAATATTTGGTCTGTTTCCCTCAATCCTTTCTGCTTCCGTCATTCATTAACTCTTGCTAATAATAACCAAGACAGACGGATTAGACACTCTTGGCATGAGGATATTGAAAGCGCTTTCCAATTTTTGGGTGAACAAATATCCGGCAAAGAGGAAAATATTAACAAATTATTTGATGTAATTATTGGTATTGGTCTGTTAGAAAAAATTAAAGAAATGAAAAATGTTAGCGAGAAAGTTGAGGTGTGATTTTTTACAATTTTCTGGATTAAAAAATATTTTTATTGCAGAAAATTCTCGGCCGTTATTTATTGAGTATTGAAACAAGTGAAGGAGTTGATCTAAGAAAGGAAGAAAAGACTGATGAACTTCCAGTAAGTTTATTTTATATTAGTATTACAATTTGTAAAGGTCCACCGAAACCCCGACCCGAACCCCGAAGGCTTTACACCGAGAAAACCTGATCTCCGACGTTCACCCTCGTGCGGGCAAAACCCCAACCCGACTCCCAAAACTGAATTTTTAGCAAAACCCCCCACTCGAACCCCGAAGGCTCTACCCCGGCAAACACCAAAACCCGACACTCCCGCCCCCGAAGGCTCGGGTACCCCACTAAATTTATATAATTGTAAATAATATATAATTGTAAAATATTGCAAAAATAAACTTGGTAGTTGTTCATAAACCTGAAACTTAAGTTACAAGTTAAATTATATTTTTACAAATTGTAAAAACTTTCTATTAACTAGTCTACTTTTTACTTTATTTCAGGCATATCTCCCACCAGAATTATTTACAAAGCAAACAGTACAATACTCAGAAAATGCAAGTTTAATCAGTTTGGTTAGGATTGAAAAAGTCAAGAAACTTGTGAAGGAGCATAAAAAAGATGAAAGCATGGGTGTATGGTTAAACCCACTAAGTGGAGGATTTTAAAAATATTTTTAAAAAAATTTTGATTGAAAAAAATAAATTGAAGGGTTTTCTCATTGTCCCGCCTTTGATAATTAATTAAAATAAATTTTTAAAATTGGATATGAAATTGTTTTTGGTGAACAATGAGTAAAACAACCTTTTTTTGATTATCTAAAGCTAATAAAAATTAAAAAAAATTTTTGCCAAAATTTTTTAAATCGCAAAAGATGTACATCCACGCCTTTTTAATAATGGTGTGGTTTCACTAGCTTCTCTTTCCTCCTCCTTTCTGGCTATTTCTTCCATAATTTCTATTGTACGGGAGTGGCCAACACCTGAATTTAATCAGAATAAAATCAGAATTTTAATTCGTTCAGAATTTCAAAAATCAGAATTTGAAAAATAAAATTCTCTTAAAAATCAGAATTAAATCAGAATGGAATCAGAAACATTTAAAAATCAGAATTTTTAATTAATTAAAACTAGAATAAAATCAGAACATTTCAAAACTAGAATACACGAAAATCAGAACAAATCAGAATATTTTTATAATCAGAATAAAAACCAGAAGACCGAAAAATCATGATGGAATAGATGTTTAGATTTAAAACAGGAAATCAGAATTTCAAAAAGCAGAATTAAAGATAATAATAAAAAATCAGAATTAAAAGCAGAAAATCAAGCCTGTTCAGAATTTAAATTTCAAACTTGAAAATCAGAATTTCGTAAATCAGAATTAATATCAAAAATCAGAATTATATATTATATATTAATATATTATATATTTAATTATATATTAATATCAAAAATCAAAAATCAAAAAAAAATCAAAAATCAAAAATTAATATCAAACACTTCAAATCATATAAACAGGCAAATTTATCACTCCTTTTGGGACAAATTTTCAGATAGGGCTGATAACACATCCATGCTTTTAAATGCGGATGCTGATAAATTTGAAGCTCTTGACAGGCAAAAAATAAAAAAATAAAATTTTGAAATTTTAAATATTTTTAGAGCAGAAATTATTGGAATGTTGCCTTCTTTTAAAAATAAATTTGTTGTGGATATTGGGGCGGGTATTGGGTTGGTTATCCGATAAAATATTTTAGTGAATACTTTTTATTTTTTTAGAAGATTTACAACAGAATTTGCCACAAAGGCAAGAAAAGTGGTCTCAACAGATTTTGTAGTGGGTATTATTAGACTTTTACTATAGTTTCCGGAAATACATTTTCCGGAAGGTATTATAAAGCTTTTAGGAAAATATGTTTTCTATTCCGGATTTGAATACTTTCCGGATTTTTATAAATTCTTCAAAGTATCAGGAAATATTTTCCGGAAAATATACCCGAAAACATTTTCCGGAATATAGAATAGCTATAAATATATTTTTCCGGATTTATATTCTTTCCTGAAACATTTTCCGGAATATAGAATATCTATAAATATATTTTTCCGGATGTTATATTCTTTCCGGAAAGTTTATTATTCTCTGCTATATGTGTATTTTGATTCCGGTATTTAACATTAATAGTAATATAATAATGTAACTTTCCGGAAGGTAATTTCTATTTTTCGGAAGACAAATTTCCTTGTATTACCTAAATAAAAATATTATTTCTTAGGCTAGCTTTATCGAGAAAAATCGGGAAACAAATTCAGCCTTTAATAATATTGAATGGAGAGTTGGTGATGCTGTGAGATTAGATTTTGAAGAGGGGAGGTTATTTTAATTTGGGTTTTCCTTTTAAACAATATTTTTTAAAGTATTGATATAGTTTTTACCAATTGGCTTTTAATGTATTTAGTGGATGAAGAAGTTGTTGAATTTTTGATTAATGCCATTAAATGGCTCAGGCCCGGCGGTTATTTACATTTGAGAGAGTCCTGCTCTGAACCTAGCAGTAAGTGTTGCTAAATAATTGAGGAAAATACTCGTAAAAATAATTTTCTGGATCCGGAAAATTTTTTTTTCTAAAATACTCTCTGAAAATATAAATTATCACTAAAATCCAAAATAATATTTTCAAAAATATTTTAGGCAAAAAATCTAATAATTCGCTACATTCCAATTCTGATAGTATCAATCCAACTAAATATCGCTTTTCATCCGCATATATTCAATTGCTCAGATCAATTAATTTTAAAAGCAGAGATGGAAACGTTTGGGGGTTTAAAATCCACTGGGCTTGCTCTGTTAATGTTTATATTCAAGTAAATTTAATTAAAATATTTTTAAATTTAAAAATAAAATTAAAGAAAAATGCAAATTGGAGACAAGTGCATTGGTTAGTAAGCAAAGTTCCTAAAAAGGAAAAATTGATGCCAAATTTGGTTACGATGCTTGGAGAGAAGTGGCCTGAAGAGCAGAAGGAATGGGACAATAAACTTGACTTGGCTCTGAATGAGAATCAGAATGTTTGTAAATAAAACTATCCGGAAAACACTGAAATAGATTTTTAAAACTTATTTCCGGAAAATATAACGTATTAATAAAATAGGAAAAAATAGTTTTCTGAAAATATTCGGGAACTCTAATTATTAATTATTAAATATAATACAGTCCGGAAAATGTTAAATACATAATACTGCAATCCGGAAGATAAATATAGTTACTATTTCCGAAAAATATTCAATATCAATAAAATAAATGTATTAACTAGAGATCGGACCGTACCGTACTACGGCCGTATTTTTCGGTATTTATCGGTATTCCGTATCGGTAGTACGGCACGGAATACGGTACGGCAAAATTTTGAAGTTGATCGGTATTTTTCGGTATTCCGTACCGTTTTACGGAACGGAAACAAAACAAAATACCGATAATACCGATCGATAAAAATTTTTAAAGTTTTATTTTATTTTAAGCGAAAAAATGCTCTCGGCCCTTGATAATTTTCAAAATTTTTGCCTGCGGCGCTAAAAAGGAAGAAATCTTGTTTCTTGGACTTACATCTTCTCAAAATTTTCGTCTGCGTGTGTTTATCTCCACAATTTAGAAATAAAAATAATTATTTTTAACTAAATTAATTTTTTAAATACGGTACGGAATAGCGATAAATTTTTATCGGTATTTTTCGGTATTCCGTACCGTTCTACGGAACGGTAAAATTTTGAATTTTATCGGTATTTATCGGTATCGGTATATACGGTAGTACGGTACGGAACAAAATTCCGATCTCTAGTATTAACTAAGTATAATACAATCCGGAAAATATTTAAGTTATATTTATAAAGAATCCTTTCCGGAAAAATATATTCCACCATTCCGGAATTTATAAAATTTATTTTAACGTATTTTTTTACACTTTCCGAAAAATATACTCTATCATTCCGGAAGCTATACACATTCAATTATAAAATTGTATTTTTTACACTTTCCGGAAAATAGAATAAATTCCGGAAAAGACTCACCTATAATAATTCGTTTTATTTCAGCTCACTTCAACCTTAGCCAGTTATCTATTATCAAGTGGGATTGGATCAAATTCAGTTATACTTGTTTTCGACTTGAGAAATAGTGAAAATCAGCCCAGTATTAATGTTCACACATTGGCTAACGTAATAAATCTTTAAAAAATTCGTCCCAAAAATTCAAATTTTTAGAGACTAAATTCTAATATTTGGTCAGTTTCCCTCAATCCTTTCTGCTTCCGTCATTCATTAACCCTTGCTAATAATAACCAAGACAGACGGATTAGACACTCTTGGCATGAGGATATTGAAAGCGCTTTTCAATTTTTGGGGGAGCAAATATCCGGCAAAGAGAAAAATATTAACAAATTATTTGATGTAATTATTGGTATTGGTCTGTTAGAAAAAATTAAAGAAATGAAAAATGTTAGCGAGAAAGTTGAGGTGTGATTTTTTACAATTTTCTGGATTAAAAAATATTTTTCTTACAGAAAATCCTTGGCCGTTATTTGTTAAGTATTGAAGCAAGTGAAGGAGTTGATATAAGAGAGGTAGAAAAGAATGATGAACTTGCAGTAAGTTTATCTTTAAATTTGTATTACAATTTGTAAGGATATAACCTAGTTTAAAACTCAAGTTTTAAGTGAACTTACAAACAAGTTCATTTTTGTAATACTATAATTTAGGGTATTCCCCGTCCCCCGAAACCCCGACCCGAAGGCTTTACACCGAGAAAACCTGATCTCCAACGTCCACCCTCGTGCGGGCAAAACCCCAACCCGACTCCCAAAACCGACTATTTTTTAGCAAAAACTCCGACCCGAACTCCGAAGGCTCTACCCTGGCAAACCCCAAAAACCGACACTCCCGCCCCCGAAGGCTCGGGTACCCTACTATAATTTATAAAAGTGTAATTACAAATTGTAATATTACAAAAATAAACTTGATAGTTGTAAATAAACTTGAAACATAAACTTGAAACTTAAGTTTTAAGTTGAATTATATTTTTACAAATTGTAAAAAACTTTCTATTAACTAGTCTACTTTTATTAGGGTGTAACATAAATAATTAGCTCCCCTTAAACCATGTACATTGTAGCATTTCAAAATACAAGTTTTAGTACACTGCGTAACAAAAAGATGGCACATCATGTTTTTTCGATATAACTCAATGGAAAAGGGTCCGTTTCGACTGAAAATTTTTTTGTAAATAGTTTTCATGACTAGGATAAAGATAAGCTAAACCGCGCGGAAAAATTTTTTTCCTGAATTTTTTTATAAAATAATAACCGTTTTAGCAGTGTAACAAAAAGATGGCACATTTTAAATTTTCGAGATTAGGAGTGGTCTGAAAAATCTATAAAAATTCCTGTAAGCATCTCTATTGATATAGATAGAAAATACAAAAGAAACGAAGTTCTAATATACTTCCATCATCGAGATCTAGAAACCCGAAAATCAGCGGAAAACAGGGGTGAACGTCTTTAAAATATATTTTCGACCCCTTATAGACTAAATTAAAATTTTATTTTACACTTTTCTGAAAGCCCTTTAAATTTGCTATAAGAAACCCTTATTTATAATAAATCGAAAAATTTTACTTAGGAGATATTGAGGGTTAAATTCAATGGACATGAAAATCATTAAATTTACCCCTTTCTGAGCACCTTAAAAGTTTAATGAAGTACAACTTAATGAAAAAAAATTTCTGTAAAATAAAAATTGCTGGTATTATAGCAAATTTAAAGGGCTTTCAGAAAAGCATAAAATGAAAATTTAATTTAGTCTATAAGGGGTCGAAAATATTTTTTAAAGACGTTCACCCCCTGTTTTCCGTTGATTTTCGGGTTTCTAGATCTCGATGATGGAAGTATATTAGAACTTCGTTTCTTTTGTATTTTCTATCTATATCAATAGAGATGCTTACAGGAATTTTTATAGATTTTTCAGACCACTCCTAATCTCGAAAATTTAAAATGTGCCATCTTTTTGTTACACTGCTAAAACGGTTATTATTTTATAAAAAAATTCAGGAAAAAAATTTTTCCGCGCGGTTTAGCTTATCTTTATCCTAGTCATGAAAACTATTTACAAAAAAATTTTCAGTCGAAACGGACCCTTTTCCATTGAGTTATATCGAAAAAACATGATGTGCCATCTTTTTGTTACGCAGTGTATTCCACCTCTAGCTCCTGTCAACTTAATCCTAGGATCCTGATTTTTTGCTAGAAAATAGGCAACTATCTTAGGATCATAAAAAAATATAATTCAAAGTCTGAAAACATTTAGTTGAATTTTAATAAATATTTATTTAATTTTACTCAAGGGAGGCTAAATATTTATGTTACACCCTAATACAATTTGTAATTTTGTATAATTTTTACAATTCGTAAATTACTTCCAACCTAATTTCAGGAATATTTCCCATCAGAACTATTTACAAAGCAAACAGTACAATACTCAGAAAATGCAAGTTTAATCAGCTTGGTTAGGATTGAAAAAGTCAAGAAACTTGTAAAGGAGAATAAAAAAGATGAAAGCATGGGTGTATGGTTAAACCCAATAAGTGGAGGATTTTAAAAATAATTTCAAAAAATTTTTCGATTTAAGAAAAATAAATTGAAGGGTTTTCTCATTGTCCCGCCTTTGATAATTAATTAAAATAAATTTTTAAAATTGGATATGAAAAGATTTTTGGTGGACAATGAGTAAAACAACCTTTTTTTGATTATTTAAAGCTAATAAAATTTAAAGGATTAAAAAAAATTTTTTTAAAAATTAAATCGCAAAGGATGTACATCCACGCCTTTTTAATAATGGTGTGGTTTCACTAGCTTCCCTTTCTTCCTCTTTTCTGGCTATTTCTTCCATAATTTCTATTGTACGGGAGTGACCAACACCTGTGGATATAATTAGAATAAAATCAGAATTTTAATTCTGTCATAATTTCAAAAATCAGAATTTGAAAAATAAAATTCTTTTAGAAATCAGAATATCAGAATAAAATCAGAAAATATTCAAAAACCAAAATTTTCAATTAATTAAAACCAGAATAAAATCAGAATATTTTAAAACCAGAATACACAAAAATCAGAACAAATACGAATATTTGTATAATCAGAATAAAAATCAGAAGATCTGGAAATCATAAAAGGAAATCAGAATTTTAAAAATCCGAAAGACAGGAATAAGAAATCAGAATTAAAACCAGAAAATCGTGACTGTTCAGAATTTAAATTTCAAAGTTTAAAATCAGAATTTCAAAAACCAGAATTTTACAAATCAGAATTTGAACAATCAGAATTTAAAAATCAGAATTAAAAAAAACAGAATTTTACAAACCAGAATTAATATTAAAAACCAGAATTTTACAAACCAGAATTAATTTTAAAAATCAGAATTTCATAAACCAGAATTTTAAAATCAGAATTTAAAAATCAGAATTTCATAAACCAGAATTTTAAAATCAGAATTTAAAAATCAGAATTTCAAAATCAGAATTTTACAAGCCAATATTAATATTAAAAAATCAAAATTTTTAATCCCCTTACATTTCGTATTAAATTCAATTTTATCAGTTTTAGCAAAAAGTGCCCTAGACAGAGGTGAGCGTTCTCCATTGTTAAAACAGGCAGTCTATTAAAAGAAAATTTTTTTCGAAAAAATTTTCTGTAAAAATTTACAGCGCAGAACAGATAAAACCAGTCATATTTTAATTCGGTAAAGACAACTCTCCTTCCATAAACATTCATTTTTTGCCATTCACCTAAACGTGCTTCTGAATTATCTGTCCAGTAGACAACATAATTCTTTAAAAAATTTTCTTCGGTTAAAAAATTTTTTAGAACCTTTAAATCATTAGCTCTTTTATAGGGCGGCTCCCAACTCAATTCGATTGAATTTGGGCTCAATTTTGTAGCCAAAATGTGTTGGGGACTAAGTTGGGGTTCTGTAAAAGTTAAGGGGTTTTGCCAATTATACAGTAATATTTTAAACCACCAGTATATTGAACTAAAATAACGGGCTTGCTCTCCCCATATTTGGAAACTGCTGTAATTCTAAATTCATATAAGGAGCATGATTGAAGGCTCATAATCTCTACAGCAAAATTCTAGAAAAATTTTCTAAAAAATTTTTTTCATAAAAAAACTTGTATTCCTTTCAATTCTCGTATTTTTGAATTTTTGTCCTCTCCCTCTTCAAATTCTTCGTATCTGGAAATGAGAGAATTTACAGTAATTTACGCAAAATGTGTGGAAGTGAAAAGAAGCTCAGTAAACGCATAACGATTTCTAGGTGTTAAAAAAGCTGCTTTCATAACTTCTGTAAACAGCCTTTTTAACATCTAGAAACCTGCTGCGTTTAAAGAGCTTCTTTTTTGACGATCCTCTCTCTTATATGTACTCTCTCTTATATTGAGGCCAAAATATGGGTTAAGTCAGGGCTCCGATTCGTACTTTATTTGAAAGTACAGTACTTTAAAATCGACCTCCGTACTTACGAAATAGAATTTGTACTTTATTGAAAGTATGTACTTTAAAATCAACATTTTGAAAAAAATGGAAGAAATCAGCTTAAGGACCTCCAAAATTCCCTAAATTTTCGCCTGCGGCGCTAAAAAAGGAAGAAATCTGGCTTCTTGAGGTCCAAAATTTAAAAAATTTTCGCCTGCGGCGCAGAAAAGAGAAAAATATGGCTTCTTGGTCTTCGGAAATTCTCCAAATTTTTGCCTGCGGCGCTGAAAATGGAAGAAATATGGCTTAAGGACCTCCAAAATTCTCAAAATTTTCGCCTGCCCTTATAAAATATAGATACAAATTACCAAATTTCATTAAAATCGTTCAACTCAGTTAAAAGTTATTAATTTTTCAAAAAGGGCTTTTCTGGTGAAACACCCTGTAGATTTTTTGGCGCCTTCGGTGCCGCAAAAAAGTGTATTGAACTGCACAGAATGCTCAGTGGAAATAAGAAATTACAAAAAAGAGCCATTAAAGAGAGAAATATAAAAGATTTAAGCACGAATAAATATTTTCTAATTTAATTTGGAGTGTACTTTAAATTTGGAAATTTTGTCCCTATGTCCTTTAAAATCGAGATTTTTGTACTCTAGATTGGAATTTTGTCGATCGGAGCCCTGGGTTAAGTTAAAAGAAGCTCAGTAAACGTATGTCGGTTTCTAGGTGTTAAAAAAGCTGCTTTCATAACTTCTGTAAGCAGCTTTTCTAACATATCGAAACTTAAATGCGTTTAAAGAGCTTCTTTTTTAAACGATCCTCTCTCTCTTATATGTATTCTCTCTTATATTAAGGCCATTTGAGTATACCTACTTTTGTCTATATCGTATATTGTAAGTAACTTTGACATCAGAAGAGGAAAAAGCTGGCGCCCAAGCTAATCTGACACTGTAGGCTGATGTAGACACAATTTGACATTCATGGGGTGGATCTGGTGGCAGGCGGGCAAACATAAAGGTTCCATCAGGCACTTGAAATTTTTTAGAGTTTCAAAGTGCCCCAATACTCAAATTCTGATAAAACTCACAAATATGCGAAGTTCTTCTGTGTCTAGAAAATTTTCTCAATGAAATCTTTCTTTGCATTTCTGTAAAATTTCGATGGGCAAAGATCATTCCTTTAGCTAATTGTGCTAATAAATTGGCCATTGCAACACGCCGTTTTCTATTTTATTTTTTTAATAAAATTTTGAATTTATCATTTACTTTGCTTTTGCCTCCCTTATCATATAGAAAGGGTTATTCGATTGCAATTTTCTTCCCAAATAGTGAATTTCTTTTAAATACATTCGTCCTACAATGTCCATACCTAAAATTCGAATCCACTGATTAACCTTCGATTACCGTATTTTCTCTAAAATACTCCTCCACTCTCTAGGATACCCCCTCTCTAAAATACCCCCATTATAAAATAAGCCCCACCCCCAATCTCTAAAACAACATCCCCCTCTAAAATACCCACCCCTTCAAAATACCCCCCACCCTTCTAAAATACACCCCCTCTTTAAAATAGCTCCCCTTCTAAATTTCACCTCCCTATAAAATACTCCCACCCTCTTTAAGATACCCCCCCCTCTAAAATACCCTCCCCTCCCTCTCTAAAATACCCTCCTCCTTTCTAAAATAGCCCCCCTCAAGAGGTCGATCGAAAGATAGCCCTCGGGAGTTATTTTAGAGAAAATACGGTATTTCAAAATGTCCAATCTCAAAATTTTGTTCATAATGTCCAAATTCCATAAAACAAGTTTTCTACTGTATTTCGACAAAATGAGTTTCCCCATTATGACTCTTTTAAGTTCTTGACATTTTGAAAAATTGACGTTTTTGATGTTGTCTGAATTATAAATTACTAACACATAGTAGTGAATATAACACCACAAATAACCAGAATCAGAACGGGAAACATATTTTCTGGATGGGGACGGTAATCGCCAAAACCTTGAGGGAAAGAATAATTTTTTGGAAATTTTTTAAAATTTTCAACCTACCAACAGTCAATATACTTATAAAAGTAAAATATAATGATTCTAAATATGTCCATTTAATTTCGTATTGTTTTTGAATTATTAAAGCAGCTAGGAAGCCATAGGCTATAACTAGGGTAAAAGCAATAAATGGTGGAAAACGAACAAGACGGACACGTTCCAAGAAACTCTGAAAATGTGAAAGTGAAAATATATTGTCGTAAAATTTTTCTAAAGACGACAAAATGACTCAGAAACGACAAAATATCCCAAAAACGACAAAATATCCCAAAAACGACAAAAAATTCGCAAAAACGACAAAGTACCTCAAAAACGACAAAATGTTACAAAAACGACAAAGTTCCCAAAGACGCCAAAATGACTCAGAAACGATAAAGTATCATTAAACTTTCTTCTCGTACCTGTTCGTCATCATTTTCTCCTATTAATTCACCACTATTTTCATTTGAATTTTGGCCAGGTATATTGCTTCGACTTCGAAAAAAATCTCTTAAATTTCCCCAAATAGCCCAAAATTTGTAGTGGAGGAAGAAAACAAATTCAGTGAAAAATTTGGCTAGGCTAAAGAAAAATTTAAATTGGATTATCTAATTAAAAGTAGTCAAACCTCGCTATAAGTTACCCTTAGGGCTTGAAAAATCCTAGCCGATAATGGGGTATACCTGTGTTAAATTGGAGGTATCCCTTAGGCAGCTTGGCCGTACTTGTGTAGTTTCCCCCCATTAAGCCCCGCCTCTTTCTCTACTCTCTTCCTTTTCTTTTAAAGCTCTTTTTCTTTTTCTTCCTAAAAGAAAAGCTTACTTCCCTTCTTTATAAGAAAAGGAAGAGAGAGAGAAAGTGATTAGGGGCGGGGCTTATGGGAGGGAAACTACACAAGTGGAGACAGGGGGACACACTGTGGACAGAGGGACCCACTCTGTGGACACGTGGGCAACCATATTTTAAAAAAATGACTCCTAAATAGAGGTGTATCCAATATTGGGAGTATCCTATAGGGAGGTCTGACTGTAAGCTTAAAGACTTTGCAACGTTGACCAGAGTAAGAGGAATACCTAAAATAAATTTTTTTTAAATTAATTCAATTTATTAACCAATTAAACAATACAACACCCCAAAAAGTCTCCCATAAAAAGTAGTTGGACAAACATATCCATAACCTATTGAAGTTAGCATTGTAGCTGTGAAGAAGAGGGAGTTTTTGAAGTCCCAAGTTGGCGGGTTCTTAATTAGAAGATTTTTATTTTATTTTATACAATCGAACCTCACTATTAGATAGAAGTAAATTTAAGTACACCTCAATTAAATATACCTAGTTTGCCACGGACGGAAGAACCACATTTGAGATAACTCTCATTATAAGATACTATGTACTATTTTCTGTCTTACAGGGAAATTTTTTCTGTCAAGTAGCTGTTAAGAAAATGGAGTTTATGATGTCCCAGTCTTGTGTAGTTTCCCCCCACTTGTGTAGTTTCGCTCTCCTGTCGAAATTTCTACTTTTTTGGGGGTTCGCGTTTCTTCTTTCACATTTTTCAGTGTTTCGACCCTTCGCTTTCGACTTTCGTTTTTAAAATAGTATTGATCACCCATGCTGTGGAGAAGTTTTTAAAGTCCCAGTACATGTGTAGTTTACCCCCACTTTCACCTCCTCAAGTATTAGTGAGGCCCGACTTGTAAAATTATTAATTATCCACCTCCTCAAATCCATGCCTAACAGATTTGTGTGCACTATACACAGTATCCACATAATTTTCAAAATGTTCTCTAGTACCTTCCAAAATTTCTTTAATTAATTCCTTTTCGGATAGTTCCCTCTCATTTAAACGTTGAGGAGGATTATTTATTAAACTCCATAAAGCATCGGCATATAAAATTGAATTTTTGTCGATCAAGTTTAAATGTTTTGATTTTGTTTCTGTAATGGGAGTAAAATAAATTTAAAAAGGAATTTTTATTTCGAAGGGTGTTGAGTTTAAAATCCTTATATTGATGCTATCCCCAGGATAATACTAACAATAAGCAGGAATAACAGTAAAAGTTAAGCAAATTTTAGATACCCAAGCAGGAATAGACCGGAGACGTATTGGTAGTTATATCGTTCAGCCCCAGATATGTAAGTGTTAGGAGTGTTGCAGGACGCAAGACGCAACGGACGCAAATAACACAAAACACAATGCGCACACCCTTGGCTTAGATATCAGAACTGTGTAAACTAAATATTCAGAATCGGAAGAAAAATCGAAGAAAAAAAGATTGAGATCTTTGGATCTCCCTTCATTGTATGCAGTCTCTGGAACAGATTTAAGTCTCTCTCTGGAGCCGATAGAGACCACTTAAACTAATCGAGGAAGTGGAGTGATTAATCCAACGATGGATATAGTATTAGAGAATAAATCTCGACTTTAAATAAAATCACCTTTAAGATTCTCCCCCTCCAACAGACGAAAAACCCAGGCTCCAAATACCGTATAAAGCAAACAGGCCACGGCTAGGAGTACGTGGTGTGAAAGTAAGCGGTTGCGGAGACAATTGCTATTATTAAAAAATTTTTTTCAAATAATTTTGGTTATGGCTTACATGAATGAGTTAAATAGACATTCTAGAAAATTTCTCATTTTAAGGGTTGAAATTTTGAAAATTTTTAATTCGTCGAATTTTTGGCGTTATGTCCATTTACATTAAAATAGGGGAAATTTTGACTTCTTATGGAAAAGATAGGAATTGATATATTTGACTTGAAATTTTTATTTTTATTCGTCAAGAAAAATAAAATATTATAGAAAGGAGCTAAAAATAATCCCAAGGGGGATTTTATATTTTTAAAAGAAGATTTTTTATTTATTTATAGAGGGAAAAACAATGAAAAAATAGTGGATTTTTTGGCGTAGTAAGAGTTGCTTGGGCGGCCATAAAATAAGTATAGGTCCACTTAGAACTGTGAAATTTTGCAGGGATGTCATTAATACCCTTGTTTAATAGACTTAAAAATCTCAGAATTTCTGGTTTCAAATTTCAGAATTTCCGAAGAAAAATCAGAATTTTGGTTAAAAATGCTAACTTTTTAGAGGTTTTTTGGCCATAACTTTTGGCTGAGTTGAGTTAAAATTCTGAAATTTTTACTGTCGATGGGTAACACTATTAAAAATCTCAGTGCAAAATTTTAGAGCGGTATCTTCTCATTAACTGATAGTTTTGTATGCTGGCGTGACCAATGGTTGCTAGCCCAAAATGGTTTAAAAATTTTATTTATTCATATTTTTTGAAAAAAATTTTTTTATATTAAAATAAAAAAAGTAAAAAAAATTTGTATTTTGTCCAACTTTTAGTGCAAAAATATATTTAAATTTAATTTAAAAAGCAAAGCGTCAGACGACTATTTTTCGGCTAGTAGTACAATGCTTCCTTTCTTGCTTCTTCGTCGTAATCAAATAATCTTATTTTGGATATTCATTAGGTGTTCGATTTATTTAAAAAAGAAGGGGTTATTGTTGCGAAAAATTAAAATTTATAGACTTTGAAAGTTTTTTAGAATTTTTAAAATTTTAAAAAATTTTTCTAAAAATTTTCCTTTAATTTTTTCAATTTTCTCTATTGACCATAAGATCATAAAGTTTATTAACTTTGTATTTCCTACCGTAATACCGAAAAATACCGATACCGATAATTGAAAATTTTATCGGTCGGTATTTCGTACCGTACTACTGATACGGAATACCGATAAATGCCGAAAAATACGGCCATAGTGGGGTACGGTCCGGCCTCTAGTATTAACAATACATTACGTTGACAAACTTAAGTTTTTGTCCTAAAATGTAAATTAGTAGTAAAACATGTAATATTAGAAACTTGGAATTCTTTTGTTTACAAACTTAAGTTTATAAAAAAAAAGTTTTAATAAAGTTTTAAGGAAGATCTACGAGTAAAGTTGTAACACAAACTTGTTTCAAAAAAGTTTGAAAAAAGTTCTAGAAAAAGTTTAAATAAGTAAAAATGCAAACTTAAGTTTGTAGATAAAAAAGTTTCAAAAGGTTTCAGAAAAAAGCTCGAAAAAAGTTTTAACGCAAACTTAAGTTTGTAAAGAACAAATGGAAAAAAAAGTTGGTAAACTTGGTAAAATAAAAGAATTTAATGAACACGCGATTTATACACGCAATTATTACTAGAATAATACAAATTATTAAGGTTGCGAAATAGTGAGAGAGCTAACATTCATAAAAGCTGGTATTTTAAAGGGTAAAAGCATTTTAGTTTTGTAACATTTACGTGATAGCAAAGCTTTAGTAAACCTTTAATTTCTTGCGTAGCTTACATTAATATATGTATAGCCCTTGTTTTAATAAATATTTAAGAATTTTGTTGGGAAATACCTATGTATATTTGGGGCTTTATTAATTATTATGTTTTTACCGTATGTGCTCTAATATAGGCTCGGCTCTATTAGAAGCCAATTTTTAATATATAAATCCACCCGAAGAGTCCCAGCAAAAAGTCCCAGCAAAAAATCTAGAGATTGGATTTCCTGTCTAGTGATAGGAAATTTTAAAATCCCTTGACTTAAAATTTTTGTTGAGGACCTTGTCAAGATTCTTGACCTTAAGTCAAAGAAAATGAAGGTCCAGAAAAGTCAAGGAACCCTGTAAAATGCCCTGATCTTGAAAGCAAAATCTGGATTCGGATCTAGGCCGATCTCTACATTCTTTAGTAGAAGAGACTCTCAGTAATGGGAAAATTTGCACGGTTAATATCTAATATAAGTGCCACTCAAAGTGATCTATTAAAAAATCAGCTTAAAAATTCTGATTTTTAAATAGAAAAATGAATACTTCAACACCAACAACAAACCAAACAGAATTAATAATTATATCTCCATTTATTTATTCATTATTAAATATATTATCAACAAATGTAGCTATTCCACACATTATTGCTGGAATAATAGGAATACCTTCTGCTTTACTTTATATTTTTGAATTAATTATTTTATATAAAAAATGGAAGGAATTTAAATCTTCTTTTTTTGTTCTATTCTCTCTTAGAGCTGTTATTGTAAAAATTAAAATTTTTCAAAAAAATTTTTAGAGGGGGTCTAGGAAAATTCATTAAGTCCATTAAACTACTATTTATTCCACAAAATATATGGAAGGCCGGCCATATTTTCTCTAAATATGAGACATGGCAAATTTAAAACACCCAATCGTAGTGGGATGAATGGCAGTTAATAGCCTTGATCGGTGAGATTCTCGGATCAAGTCCCCTCTAATCCTTTGCTATTTTATGGGACGATTAGGTCACCTCTCTAACATGAGGAGATCGGTTTCTAGTTGAGACCCATGCTTAGGAGTCTCGATGAGAGTCTTGATGAGAGACTCGATGAGAGACTCAGGGACTCAGACTCTCTCAGACTCAGAGAGACTCATACTCATTCGAGACTCATGTTAGGAGTCTGCCCCTCAAATCTCCACATTATTATTTGGCCTGAAAATGATTCAGCTCCAAATTCATTTTAATTTAAGTGCCTGATCAATCTCTGCTTTTCCTATGTAAATCAACGGTTTCTCAAATTTGGCTGGTTCATACCCATCTACCAACAATTGCCTACTGTAGTTCTCTCAATCTTCTACTTTTTCATCTATTACCCTTTCCACGTTGAGGACCTCGCCAGCATTTTTATGATAATCAACAGACTTAGTGCTATAGCTGTGCCGATGGAATATGAGGAGGCAAGAGAGGATTTTTGATTTTAAAAATTTAAAAAATCCTAACAGATTTGGACTAAAAAACGAGTTGTGGCGGTTGTGATATTTTGTTGTGTGGCCCCACTTACAGTTACATATCATATTTTACAGTACACTACCTATCTGAGTTTGATGAATGAGAACAATTATGCACTAGCCTATTCTTTACAGACCTTTGGATATTCGTTGGTGGGTTTAGAAGGATTAAAGGATAATGTTGGAATTCATTATAAGATGCCCGAAAATAGATACACTATCTAAAATAACTCTTATTAGAGGATAACGATGCTATTCAGCTGGTGTCTCTAAGTACGGTTGAGGTGTAGACACGTACTAGGTACTGGTATTGCTCTGGTAGCTCTCGGAGATGGTTCTAATGCCGGAGTCAATATATGAAAAGTCAAAACCTATGCCAAAAGTTAGGCCGGAGCCTTGCTCTATACTTTCACCTCCTTTGCTGCTTTTGCCCTATACCTCCCTTGCATATATCCATTTTTTAATTAGTAGTGTCCGGGATATCGTCCGTAATTAATTTAGAGACCGTGAAAAGATCCACATTTTCGACTAGACTTTGGAAAATCCCGCCCAGATCCAATTGAAAAACTTCAAAATCCCAAGGAAACTCATTTTCAGGGAATAATCACCTACACAAAAGTAATCGGAGTATTTTCAAACAACAATGGAATCGCTGCATTAACATCCTTCTTTTTCATGGGGATTTCATTAATTTTGAATATTTACACCCTAATTCTATTCAAACGAAAAAATAATATTGTAATTCAAAAAAACAACAAAAAATACTCCGAAAATAAAATTAAAATGGAGCGACGCCTAACTGTATATGTGTTGGTCACATTTTTGGGGCAATTGATAGTCTCCCTATTTATGGTCACTTGGTTTACTGCTTCAGCAGCTTTGAAACCCTTTGTAGATAAGGACACTTACAATCTGATAAACTTTGCCGTGCAAAATCAGAGTGAGTTTAGTGTGATTATTTGGTTATGTAAGCAAGAGAGATCAGTCAATCATAACTTTGCAGAGGGGTTCGTAAGTAAGGAGGATTTCTGGGGATTCTTATTATTAGGTACATTTTCCAGCTCCAATTCCGTCTTCACCTACTTTCATCTTGGGATATGAGTCATTATAACTGGAGATGGTCAAGTAAGGAGAATAGGAGATTAAAGAGGACTTCATAGGATCGAAGAGGATATCGGGGGATCAAAGAGGACTGAGGAGGATATCAGGAGATTAAGGAGGACTTCATAGGATTAAGGAGGATATCGGGGGATTGAAGAGGATGTCAGGGGGATTATTATATCAGGGAATCTGGTCCAGTGGCATAAAGGACCATAACAGCATTAATTCTGATTTTCTTACTTTTCAAGATTTAATATAACTAAAATTACAGGCCCATGGGTAAACGACATTTCTACGATTGCATTGCCTGCCTGGCTAATGCTTTGGGCTAATGAGCGATTGCATCAATCTATTTCTTCTAGCCTCAACAAAGCTGAAGAGAATATTCTTTTCAAATTTGGGAAAAAGCCAATAGCTGTGGGTGATTCAAGCCAACAAAACAAATTATTTGTCCAAAAGCCAGATGGAGCTAGAAGATTCATCAAAAGCGTTTCGTTTCCTGAATCTACTGAACAGAATAGGCCCCATAATCAGAATCTATTTTGAACATACTTGTCCAAATTTAATAAGGCCATCCACTCAGCCTCTTGTAAATTTTAATATTGAGTGTATCCTTCAAAGATATTTCAAAGATGCCCAATACATGCCCAAATTTAATAAGGAAGTCTCCTCAGCCCCCTTGTAAATTAATATTGGGTGTATCTTATAATAAAGTTAGGCGATTACTAAAATTGGTGATGTGCATTATTTTAAGGAAAATAATGGCTAAGGGAGCGCCTAAGTTATATCACAAGGGGTGCTCCGAAAGTGGCACAGGGTTACTCCGAAAGTGGAACTCCGAAAGTGGCACAACCCCTATATGAGTGGCACATACCTATATATACCTTATTATGAGAGATAATTTTTAGCCCCAAGAGGGTATCTCATTTTAAGGTCCAACTTTATATTTTTTTTATTTAATGATTTTTTCTATTTACTGTTATTTAAAAATTTATTTTACACAAATTTTTACTAAAATAAATTAAAAAATATTTTTGTTAAATTTATTTTCTTAAAAATTTTATTGTGACTCTTTTGCCGTTCTACTCGTTCTAGTATTACCAGTTTGTTGCGGTATAGCCATAGATTGTCGTTTTTCATCTAGCAATGATCTGGCACTAACCTCAGGGTTACGATAACGATCATTTATTAGAACGTAAATTCTAAATTGAAAATTTTAAAAAATATTGGGAGAAGTTGGTTGTGGTATGTAAATATGTCAAATAACACTTATGAACCGGCAAGTGAGAGATGCCGGTAAGGCGTTATTGGGGATGAACCTGACGCATTTTAAAATGCATAAAAACGGAGGAGGAAGGGCCAAAGGAGGCGGAAGCGGAGGCAGTCTATCCCTGCCTGTGGGTTTGGGTTTTCGAGTAGGGCCGACGTTCGAGTCATATTCGACCGGCATTACCGAGCCTTTCGGGCCGAAATTCAATGCCTGACTCGATCTTTTAGACCGGACCCCAACCCTACTTGGCTGGTATGTCGAAAATTAAAAGAGTCTTAAAACGGAAATGGTACTGAACCTCAAGAACATTGAAAATAGGATAGTGTGATTGCTAGCCCTCCTTCCATATAAAATTTAACTTTAATAAGCACCTGTAAATCTCCAAAAGAATAATCAAAATATTTTTTGAAATAAACAAAATTAAAGCAAAATCAGCTTCCCAAAGCCAGCCCAAAACAATCAGACGAACAATTAAAAAGGGTAAATCCTGGCATGCCAAGGATATTAGAAGCGACCAAATGTCCAAGTCGAAAAATGCCTTTAGGGGAACAAAAATTAAAATTTTTTCGAGAATTTTTGAGAAATTTTATTGAAAATCTTCTCAAGAGTTCAAAAATTTTATTCGAAAAATTTTTGAAATTTTTCACCTAAAAATTTTCCAAATTTTTTTTTTCAAACCTCCCACCTGTCTAAAATCATGCCTATTTGTACTTAACAAAATTTTAGTAGCCACAGCAATTCTCATTTTACGAGAACGACTGGCTGTCAATATGAAAGCAAATTGGATTAGTGAAAGCGCAAAAGCACTGAGTATTGACATTTTGAGTGAAGAGTCTGCACAAACTGTAGACCTATTTAATAGACCGGCAAATTCGAGAATATCAGTTGTTATGGCCTTTAAGAAATTTTTATTCAGAAAAATTTTTTAGCTCCCACCACTGACCCTAAAACTCCCCAGTCCGATTCCTGACAGTTCTTTACCCCAATATCCCTGTTCCTCAAAAATATTCTTCCGACGTCGAAGACCAACTCTTTCAGGTCAAAGGAAAGAGGTCTATTTTGCTCAGCACTCCCCTCTAAATTTAAGTGACCAAGAGCTTTAGGTATATTTTTCTTGCCTCAAGTATTCCTTATACCAAGGGGTCGGAATTTAGAGGAAGGAATTCAGAGTGGTGCCCTTGCTCTATACTTCCTCTACCTTAACTTTCTTGCCCTATATCTCCCTTGCTCTATCTCCTACTTCCCCGTTGCTATCCTCACCCTCCTGCCTTTAGTTAATCGAAAAATCACCATATAAGCAAGCAATATCTGTGACAATTCTTCTCTATTTAACTCAAATCTAGGCAACATCCATCTCGCAATAATCAAAACCAAGAATAATGTGTAAGTCAATATTTGGGGCAAAATAATTCCTTCGTTTGGAAGAAAATTTGGTTGTAATCCCAAAGAAACAAGTGGAGAAGAATAATTATTTGGCAAGTTTATAGTGGAGGAATTGAGTGTATAATCACATAGAGAGCTTAGCATTATCCAAATTGGAGGGATCTGATTTTTAAAAAATTTTTTAAAGGAAATTATTAAGTTTTGCTACCGTAGCAGACAGGTAAATTGAAACAGCAAAGGAAAATCTTGAAAAAAAATCATTTTTGAGCTGAATCTCTTTCTAATGAATCCCTATATAGGAGACTCTAACGAAAAAAACCTACAATCTTGGCTCATCTCCAGCCCTAACAATCACTGCATAAAAGCCTTCACCAATTAAACAAAAAGCTATCAATGAAAAGGCCCAAATGGAATTATCTGCCCTTAATTCGGCTGCTGCCCATATACAAAATATTGAATGAGACTTAAATAATTATATTTGATTAAATATGATTTATTTTAAGTTAATCAATTACAGCTTTTTAAACGCACATGATTCTTGATTGTTTAAAAAGCTGTAAGCAGCTTTTTAAACGCACATAATTCTCGATTGTTTTGAAAAGCTGTAAACAGCTTTTTAAACGCATATAATTCTTAAGTGTTTAAAAAGCTGTAAGCAGCTTTTTAAACGCACATAATTCTCGATTGTTTAAAAAGCTGTAAACATGGTAAATCAGAATTCATGATTTTTAAATTCTGTTTAAAGTTCTGATTTCTATATTCTGATTTTTAAATTCTGATTTTTATATTCTGATTTTTAAGTTCTGATTTTTATATTCTGATTTTTAAATTCTGATTTTTAATTCTGGTTTTATGTTCTATTTTTAATTTCTCCCTTATTTTTAATTTTTCCGAACTAACCATAAGTAAGATTCTAACAGTTAGTGCTCTAAGTACATTAGATAATAGCGAAGTTGAAGAAGATTGGAACATTAGATCACTACTAAAGTTCGAAGATCTATGACCTCCCGTTGTAGAGTGCCGAACAGTTGAGGAGTTTACTGCTGCTGATGTTGAGGCTACGCTCCTGTTGAGTGGGATAAATTTAATTTTTAGGTGTTTCTCCTTATGATCTAGTTCCTTGTTATATACTAGGGATGGGTCAGGGATCGTGCACCGTATCATATATCCTTGAAAGAAAGACTTTGAGACTTTGAATGAAAATCCCTTTAGTCTCTGACCCTTCCTACGCCACTCCACTCCCTAATAAAAATTCAGTTCCCAGCCTCCCTCTAGGATCTTTCTAAATTCCCTCCCTCCTGTGGTTGTTTTTCCCGAATTCTCTCAGAGTCCCCCAGCTGGGAACAACCTCTACTTTTTCCATAATTTATTCCCCTACTTTCTCTGTTTTGGAGCGGCCGTTCCAGAAATACTTTCTTTACTTCGACTTTCCCTTCTCGGGGCCATTTGTGCATGCCCTGTAGATTTTCGTTGTTCTGCCCCACTGGAAGCCTCTCCTCCCTTCTCAAGACCAGCACCACTTCCACTTCTGCTTTCCCTCCTAGGGCCACTGCCTGTTTGCTGTTCTAATCCACTTCCAGAAAAGTAGAACCACTTAAAAATTAAGGAAAAAATACTTAGAGGAGTAGTATGAGAATGAAACTTGCCATTTTAGAATTTCCAGATTATCAAATAATTTTTATTAATAGTTAAGATTATTTAATATTATTTTAAATTAACTAAAAAATAATTGTAAAGGATTAAGGCTTACATTGGGATTAGATTTTTTTGATAAAAGTTGTTTATTGTTTGAGAGTCTCGCTTAGGAAGGCTCTCATTCTACCAACATTGTTTTGTATTGTTCTAGGAAGGATTAGTCCTTCGGGGCTGAAAACACGAGTTCACTTCAAGGTCTTTTCACCCATAAAGAAGGTTGGCATTCGGGGGTCCTGGTTAGCATGGTCGGCGTTCACCCTAATTTAACCCAAAAGTCGCACTAAAGAGAGTTGACTGTCTATAAAATAGAGGTCTATTTTCAAATAATTTTGGCAAATGAACACTTGAAAATAGGTAGCTGATATATATTTATATACCCAAATTTTTTAGACTTTTTGTATAAAATTCACAAAGGCTTTGATGGATTGAAAATTCCAAAAATTCGTGTTGTTTTTTACCATTTTTGGCATTCTGTTTATTTTTTTATGATTTTTTAAGAGCAGAGAATTTTTTATTGGGAGTATTGTTATTGTTTATCCAGTTAATTCCCTAAGGTTTAATCCATCTTTGAGGCACCATCTTATTGCTATGCCTCTTATTTATCATTTGTTTAGAAAAACGAATGCAGGAAAAAAGCCAAAAAATTAAAATGGAAAAATTAAAAATAAAAAAGGCGCAAAATTGCCGTTCAAGTTGGGTTGAATAGACGGTAAGGCGCAAAATTGCTTGGACGGGCGGCAGTATATCTTTGACTAGGAGTTGTCTAAAATTCTGAAATTTTGCATGGACGTTTCTAATAGAGCTATCTAACATCTCTAAAAGTTTTAAATTTTTTGGTTGAATATTTCAGAATTTATGGGCGAAAGTCCAGAAAATCGACCTTTCTTTTAAAAATTCTGACATTTAGGCCATATCTTCTGAAATAGTGAACCAGAAATTCTGAAATTTTGTACAGACGTCTCTAATAGTGATATCTAACAGCTCTAAAAATTTTAGAATTTTCGGTTAAATATTTCAGAAGTTATGGGCATTTAAAAATCCATGTATTTAACCGAAAATTCTGACATTTCAGCCATAATTTCTGATATAATCAACCAAATATTCTGAAATTTAGTACAGACGTTTATAAGAGTGATTTATAAGATGCCTAAAAATTTTAGAATTTTCGGTTAAATATTTCAAAAGTTATGGACAAAGACTCCTTAAGAATCGACGTTTTTCCTGAAAATTTTGACTTTTTTTTAGCCATAACTTCTGAAATAATGAACCAGAAATTCTGAAATTTTTAGTGAAGATAGCTAAAAGTATTGAAAATATCTATGCAAATTTTCACAACTTTAGGCACTCATTTGTCAATTTTATGGAAGCGCACCAGCCCTACTGCATAACGCGTCCTACCACCCCTTTAGGGCAACCAAGAAAAATTGCCCAATTTCATTTTTTTCGTTTTTCATCCTTTCCAAGCTCCCTGGGGAATGAGGCGCACTCATCCATTCCACCAAACCTTGGCAAAAAATTCCAGTATTTTTGTGGCAAAAAAGATTTTTTAGGGGAGAAGGTTGCGAGTAAAAGTGCAAGGCCAAAAAAAGTGACTGAAAAAGGGGTTAGAAAAAATAGGTGAATTAATATGTAAAAAAAAAGAAATAAAAATTTAAAATAAATTTAAATAAAGAATATTATTTTATGGAAAGAAAAAATTTTAAAATGATGTAATGTAAAAACACAATTTTACTGCCTTTCTTTTCTTTCCAAAAAAACATAAAAATAAATTATCACGTTATTTATTCCACCCACTTCCTATTAAGTAAAAATTTGGTGTTTTGGCTTTTGAAGGATTTGGCTTGTCTCCAAAATCTAGTCAGCAATAATTAGTGTTGTATTGTGTTCTATGAAAAGTTGCAAATTGTAAAATATTCGGAAAGGAAATAAGATAAAAATAAACATGATAGCCTATTATCAAGTTTGCAAGTTTGAGTATATAATTCAAGTATATTTTTAAGTTTAATAAAGTTTCAAGTTTGTAAAAAAAGGAATTGTAAAATGCTCCTCTATACAAGCATTTTTGTAATTTTTTACAAACTTGAATTTTATTAATATACAGTCGTGGAAAAAAGTATGGAAGCGCTAGAAAATTTTTTCTTAATTCTTAATTTTTCATTCAAAAAATACGTTCTATATACCAATCGAAAGCTCTATTCGTATCTCAGTTGACATGTTTCTGCATTTTTTATGAAAATGAAAATTGGCCGAGATAATCCGGATCTACCGGATATACCAAATCCCACTTTTTCGGAAAAATTTTTCGGAAAAAATTTAACAAACCCAAATGATAAAGCATATTTTTCTGAGTATTTTCCACAAAACCGCTTAGAGATATCTTATTCCGGAGCAGAGGTATGATTTTTTGAAAATCGCATTTTTCGTCTATTTTTGCAAAAAATTCAATTTTTAAGGGAAAAATGCCATTTTCAAAAAATCATATCTCTGCTCCGGAAAAAGATATCTCTAAGCGGTTTTGTGGAAAATATTCTTAAAAATATGCTTTATCAAATGGGTTTGTTAAATTTTTTCCGAAAAATTTTTCCAAAAAAGTGGGATTTGGTATATCCGGTAGATCCGGATTATCTCGGCCAATTTTCATTTTCATAAAAAATGCAGAAACATGTCAACTGAGATACGAATAGAGCTTTCGATAGGTATATAGAACGTATTTTTTGAATGAAAACTTAAAAATTAAGAAAAAATTTTCTAGCGCTTCCATACTTTTTTCCACGACTGTAGGTAGATTTAAAGTTTACAATAATTTTTTAAAATCTAATCAATTAAATTTTCAATATAAAATTTTATAAATTAAAAAATATTTACAATTTATAGTAAAATTAATTTAAAAAATTAAAATGAGGTGGAATGAATAAAAAAATTTTTATTTAAATCTTCTACATGCTCTGTTCCTTCTCAAAAAATATTTAAAAATTATTTTTTGTACTTTTGATGAAAAATAAATTTTTAATTTCCAATTCAATTTAAATGATAAATTAAAAAATTGCTGTAAAAAATATTATTATTTTCTTCTTCATTTTCTTCCTTTCTATTTTTCTTCTGACACCTTTGATTTTTTGAGTTTTTTGTTGTTTTTAAAATTAATTGTTCATCCACTGGGTAAATTATAGCCATTCTGCTGCTTTTCCTGTCCACACAATTTTTGTCAACTCCTTTTGTTGTAATTGTAAATTTTGATTTTGCGAAATGTAAAGCTTTTTGTAATTGTATTTTGAGCATTTTTGTTCTTGTTGTTGTTGTTGTTAAAACTTGAATTTTATTATTGCAAACTTGAAACAAGTTTATTTATTTTCGCAAACTTGAAGCAAGTTTATTTAGTTTATAAGCTTGTTGTTAAGTTTAAACTTGAAGTTTATTTTTGCAAACTTGAAGCAAGTTTATTTATTTTTTGCAGACTTGAAGTTAAGTTGAAAAGTTGGGGACAAGTTTATTTATTTTACAATTTGTAGTTAAGTTGCAAAATAGGCTGTTTAAGTTTATTTTAATTACAAACTTGAATACAAAATTTGTAATGTTGTAATTTCAAGTTTATTTTTTTACAAATTGTAATTTTATTTTATGTTGTTATTTTTAAGTTTGTAAATTATTTTTAAGATTGTAGTTTTATTTAAAGTTTATTTATAGAAATTAGTCGAGACTGTTCTTCTCCCCACATTCTACCTTCTTTTATAGTTAAATTCTAATAAAGGGGCGTATAGTTAAAATCACATTCCTAAGCATAAATTTAGTTCCTTCTACACACTTTTTTCACAATTTTTTAATTATCGCCTCCCTTTTTCTATTTTTATTAATTTTATTTATTTATGTCTACGGCCATAAGTTTAGGGGGAAAAAATTTTTTTCTTGATGTGTTCCACTCTTTTAGTCTTTTTCTTAATCATCCCCCTTCATTTACGCATATTCAACAAAAAATTTAAAAATGAATTGCGCAAAACGTTGAATCACATAAAGTTAAAACTTACTAAACATCTTTTCCCCTTTTCCCCTTTTTTGGGCGTTTACAAGGCTATATTGTATATTTACCTAGGAATTTGCGCAAGAGCTATATTGGGCGAACCAAAGAGGGGAATAGTTTTTGTTGGAATTTGTGTATGACGTGATCGGTGAAATAAAAAATGATGGAGGGAGATTTGTAAAAAAATTATTTTATAAGTTTGTATTTTTAATCCAGAAAAAGAAAATAAATCATAAGCTTGATTAAGAAAAGAATAGGTTAGAGCTTTATTACAGGGGAAAAACTCCAAGTTTTTAAAATAAAATTCAAGTTTCAGTAAGTATAGTTAGTAGCTAGTTAAATTTTTTTCAGAATTAAAAATTATAATCAGAATTTTAACAAAACAACTTAAAAGTACACAAAAATACAAATCAGAATTACAAAACAGAAAAGCATAAAAGTAAAGATAACTAATTATAATACAAAACCAGAAACCAGAAATTACAAATCAGAATTTCAGGAAAAATACATGAAAAACACAAATCAGAATTTAGTTAAAAGATAAACACAAACCAGAATTCTGTAAAAGCTTGCGAAAAATACAACCAGAATTTTAAAAGGAAAATCAGAAATACAAATCAGAATTTTAATAAAGTAAATACAATTACAAATCAGAATTTCCAGAAAAATACAGGAAAAATACAAACCAGAATTTCGTTAAAAATAAAACACAAAAGCAGAATTTTGTAAAACAACTAGAATTTTAAAAGGAAAATCAGAAATACAAATCAGAATTTTAATAAAGCAAATACAGTTACAAATCAGAATTTCAAGTTGAATAAAACACAAAAATCAGAATTTCAAGTAAAATATAGGAAAACACATATCAGAATTTCGTTAAAAATAAAACACAAAATCAGAATTTTGTAAAACACAACCAGAATTCTAGAAGTAAAAACAAAAATACAAATCAGAATTACAAACCAGATTAATCAGATATTAATCAGAATTTTAAATGAAAATTTTAACAAAAAATAAAAATCAGAAAAATATGAAAAAAATTTTTTCATATTTTATTAATTATTTTAAAAATATTTTTTGTTTCCAAAAATATTCTCAATTTAGAATTTTCAATTTATTTATTTTTATTCAGTAAATCTTTCAACTTTATTTAAAATGCCCCTTTTCACCCTTCAAATTAATTTTATTTTAGGGATCTTAAGGTCCTTCCTCTCTCTTAATTAAATTTATTTAATTAAAACGGGTTTTTAATAAACACAAAAAAATTTTTTTTTAATTTTCCTCGAGTTGTTGACAATTTTTGTTAATTTATTCTGCCGCATTCCAATGTGTGTTTGTTTGTGTGATTGTAGTATGTACATACCCTGTATGAATGTATATTTGAATAATTAATTAATTTTAATTAGTGGACATGTTGATATGTACACACTCTTTTTAAAAATTATTTTTAGAATTTGGTTAAATCAGAATAATATTGATAATTAAAAAATAATTTTCAAAAAATTAATTTCAAAATTAAAAAAAAATTTTAATAAAAATTTAAAAAATATACACATTTAAAGATTTAATTTTTGTAATGCAATTAAAAAATAAATCAGAAATTAATTTTAAAAATTAGTTTTAAATAAATTTAAAACATTTCAATTTAAATAAATCTTTTTAAATTTAAAACATTTAATTTTTACAAATCCCCCTTGAAATTAAATATATACACTCAGAATTTCGTTAAAAAATTTTTTAATCAGAATTATAAGCCCAAAGAAAATACAAAACAGTATGGGCGGCAGGCCGAAACTTGCGGACCGACTTTTGCGGACCGAAACTTGCAGACCCGACGAATTTCTCGAAACATAGCTCATTGAAAGAGCTCGACGAGCTGAGTCGAATGACATCAAAATCATCGTGATTGTACAAGCTTGGACAAAGTTACGATAGAAAAACAAGAACATAAACCCCTGGTCCGCAAAAGTCGGTCCGCAAGTTTCGCACTACCGTATGGGCTTTATTTGGGTGGTATAGACCGAAGTCATACAACTAGGCATAATTTTAACAAATTTATTCGACTTTAAATGACAAATTGATATTTAAAATATTCCTAAAACTACATATAGTTATAAATATTTACAGCACACTTAGTGTTAAAATAGAAATAATATTTTATTTTTTAATTAAAAGACAGAAAAGGATAAAGTCAGTCAGAAGAAATGTGATAATGTTAGGCTTTTATCCCGATCAGGATAAAAAGGAGCTTGAAGGAAGGATACGATGGGTACAGCCCAACAGCCCCCACGGCGTAAAGCCATGACTTGCTTCAAGATTTCCCAATCCTACCAAATTTAGTGTTAAACAATTCCTCTCTAGAGCTAAAGAAATTGGTGCCAAAATTGATGAGAAACAGAACTTTTCCAGCAAGTTATGGCTTGCGCCGTTATGGATACTGTATATGCTCGAATAATTACTACCTCTCTCAAATAATAACCATCTTTATTATCTCCTAAATATTATTCCTTCACTCCAGCGAGAGGTGAAACATTAATTATGCCCCATGGTAATTATTTGATAATATACGGTAATGGTCTTTTGGAAATAAATTAAAGAAAGTATAAAGAAAAAATAAAAGATAAGGTGTAGATTAACATTGAAAGAATAACTTATTAAATCAAGAAATGATGGGTGTGATAAGATAGAAATTGGTATATTTAAAAGATAGCCTTTAAATCAAGGCGATATTTCATGTAGATTATTTGTACCAAAAATCAGAATTATAACGCCTTTATTAGGCAAGTTATTCAAAAATGCCCTCAGGCTATATTTTACTTTATCACTCATAACTTTCGCTTATAAAGTCTAATCGAGTCGATTTTGGTATCATTCGACGCAGCTCAACGAGGCGCATCGAACCATGAATAAATTTTAATTTTAAATTGAGTGAGGAATTTTTAAAAAATTTTATTTGAAAATTTTTTTGAATATTTTTTTCTAATTTTTCTGGTACAAATATTCTGATTTAGAATTGAAAAAGGAAAAGTTTTTTTGGAAATTTAGACTGGTTAAAAATAGGAAAAAAATAGAAAACCCCAAAAATAAGTCAAAAAATGACAAAATTATTAATTTTAAAAGGGGGCAATTTGCCCCAATTTTCTCCAAAATATAGGAGGTGTTTTGGTTTAATCAAGGCAGCCCTAAAAGGAAAAAGAATGAAAAAAAATTTTTATTTTTTATTAAATTAATTCCTTCAATTGAGGTTTGAAATTGCCTTAGTAGCTAGTTTAATTAATGTATTCGTTGTGATTTTACAGCCAAAACCCTCAAACTTCCATTTCATCAAGGGGAAGGCGACACCCCCAAAGGTTTCTAAGGCATAGTTGATTTCCTGTAAAATAGGATTTTATAAAATTAATTTTTGAAAATCTCCAAAAATTTCAAAAATTTTTGAAAATTTCGAGAAATTTCGAAAAAAAAATTTCAAAAAAAATTTTCAAGAAAAATTTTTTAATTTCAAAAAAAATTTTAAAAATTTCCAAAAAAATTTTCTGCTCTAAAAATTTTTTATCCTAATCAGAATTCTGATTTTGAAAAAAAAATTCTGATTTTCTCCAACACAATTCTGGTTTTTTTTATCAGAATTTCACACCCTATTCTGATTTTTTATGTCAAACCAGAATTTTTTCTGGATTTTCTGAAAATTCTAAAAATTCCAAATTCCCCTACCAAGTCTATTCCTTCATCAGGATCAAATTCAAAACTTTTTTCAAACTTTTCCTCCATCTTTGGAACATTTATTATTATTTTATTTTTATTATTCGACGTAGCTTGACGAGACGCGTCATTTTCTTTTTCAATTTTTTCTACAGGCTTTATCCCTTCTTCAGCCTCCTTTTCAGCTTCAGAAATTTTATCAGAATCTTTATTTTCTGTTTTTACTTCAACTGGTTTTACCTGAAATAAAATAATCAGAATTTTGATTTTTAAAAATAATTCTGATTTGAAAAATTCTGATTTTAATTCTGATTTTGAAAATTCTGATTTGAAAATTCTGATTTTAATTCTGATTTTGAAAATTCTGATTTAAAGAATTTTGATTAAAAAAATTCTGATTTTTCTTAATATGTTCTGTTTTTTAAATCAGAATTTCTAATCCACATCTGATTAATCAGAATTCTGGTTTTTAAAAAATTCTGGATTTTTTTTAATAATTCTGATTTTGAAAAATTCTGATTTTTTATCAGAATTTCAATCTCTATTCTGATTTTCCTTATCAACCCAGAATTTTTCTCTAGGGTTTTCTGATAATTCTGGTTACTTTACCTCTTCCTTTTCTTTTTTTACTTCCTTTTGTTCTGATGCTTCTTTTGCTTTTGTATCTTCCGTTTTTTCCTTTTCTGATTTTTCATTTATTTCCTTCTGATTTTCCTTTTCCTCCCCAAGATTTATTTCATTTTCCAAATTAAATCGGACCGTTCCTCGGGAACGTTTAGCCTCATTTTTGTTAGTTTCCTTTCGATGATTTTTGATATTCATTGATATTTTTGTTGTTATTCTTGGGGTTTGCTGATAATTATTCTTGTTTCTGCCTTCCATTGGGCGGGAACGTCCATTATATCCATGACCATAATGCTCATACTCCTCTGAATCCATTTCATTTGGGTCTTGTCCATTTGGTCCCTGACCATTTCGTCCATGACCGTTTGGTCTATAACCATTTGATCCATACTCATTTGACTCATACTCATATTGGTCATGCTCATTTGGGTCATATCGAAAATGTACACTATGTTTCCATTTAGGAGGGGCTCCATAGCCAATTTTTTGTTTGTGATAAAACTGTGGTGGGTGTTGATGTTTATAAGGATATTGCCCTTTGAAGGATGCTTTGAAGTGAGGTCCCTTCGATCCTCTCATAGGGTAACGATGATTTTTCTTGGGTGGATAATTATCAAAATGCGCAGTTGTCTCAACATTATATCCATATTCCTCTTCCTCCTCTTCTCCACTCACAAACCACGTTGCGTGAGATTTTGGAGGCTTTTTCTCTCTTATGGGTTCCAAAATTGCTTGGGCACTCTTAACTCTTCTACTCTCTTGTGCACCTCTCTTCCTTCGCAAATTAATGTTAACGATGTCAGTTTGTCTGTTACAAGACCCTTTTCCATCATCTACCGATCTGAGGATTATCTTTTGGCAATCGACTAGAAATTTATATTTTTAGTACATGTTCTGGGGCCAGAAACCTCACTTTTAGAGACCCCTTTTGGGGCTGAAAAATCGTAACCTTATAATAAGGGGTCTATTAAATGGAGGGTATCACTTGCCTTATAATGAGGGGTATATTAAATAGAGGGTATCGCTTAGGCACTTGTCTTATAATGAGGGGTATATTAAATAGAGGGTATCGCTTAGGCACTTGCCTTATAATGAGGGGTATATTAAATAGAGGGTATCGCTTAGGCACTTGCCTTATAATGAGGGGTCTATTAAATAGAGGGTATCGCTTAGGCTTATAATGAGGGGTGTATTAAATAGAGGGTATCGCTTAGGCACTTGTCTTATAATAAGGGGTATATTAAATAGAGGGTATCTAGGCACTTGCCTTATAATGAGGGGTATATTAAATAGAAGGTATCTAGGCACTTGCCTTATAATGAGGGGTATATTAAATAGAGGGTATCGCTTAGGCTTTAATGAGGGGTATATTAAATAGAAGGTATCGCTTTGGCTTATAATGAGGGGTATGTTAAATAGGAGGTATCGCTTAGGCACTTGCCTTATAATGAGAGGTATATTAAATAGAAGGTATGCTTAGGCAACTCCCCCATCCAATGGCCAATCAAATCTTATGGGAAGTCTCTTATATAGAGGTGTGTTTGAGGTATCTAAAAGCGAGGTTCTGCTTATCAATCATGTACCGTTTTTCGACTTTAACCAGTCTGCCAATGAAATATCGTTCAAAACAAAAACAATATCAACATATTTTAGACTAGCCAAGAATTTTTCTGATTCTTTAGTTGAAAGGAAATTTTTAGAAGCCGAATCCAATTGAATTGCTTAAAATTTTATTTTTGAGACATTTGATCCCAATTTATTTTAAAATTACCAAAAATTCGTCTTTGCTTTTTTGGGGTTTTTCCCGAAGCTTTCTCTGAATGCAATGCTAACAGAAAATCTTGTAAAAATTCGGCAAATGTGGCGCTAAAGTTTTGGAAACCGCCGGTTAGGTCCAAGATGAATCCATCATATTGTTGAGCGTATTTCTGAAAGAAATTTTGTTTAGAATTTTCTCTATTCGCTTTTAAAAATTCGGCATTTATACTATTGGCATTTTATTTATTGTGGCATTTTTAACAATGGGCATCTTGTCCCTGCACATTTTGTCCCTGGATATTTTGTCCGGAGGCGTTCTGTCCACGCCAATTTTGTCCCTGGATATTTTGTCCGGAGGCGTTCTGTCCCCGTCCATTTTGTCCCCGCCCATCTTGTCCCTGGACATTTTGTCCGGAGGTGTTCGTTCTGTCCCTGACCATTTTGTCCCTAGGCATTTATATTTTGGCGTCTATGGCATTTTTTAAATGTATTTATTCTACCTGTTTTTTAGTGATTGCCTCAATTAGATCAATCCTTGTTTGGACACCTTTACTCTGCTTCTTGCCTCGTATTTTGTTTGTTAAACCTGCATTTTTTATCTGTGCGTTGATCAAACCTTGGAGTTTTTCTGATTTTTCGTTCGAGAATTTTACAGACGAATAAATCTGTAAATTTATTTTTAAATAGATCCTTTTTTATTGGAGAGAGTCTTGCTATTAGAGAGTGCCTTTTAATCAGAGAGTGCCTTGCTATTAGAGAGTGCCTTTTAATTAGAGAGTGCCTTGCTATTAGAGAGTGCCTTTCAATTAGAGAGTGCCTTTCAATTAGAGAGTGCCTTGCTAATAGAAAGGGCCTTTCTATTAGAGAGTGCCTTACAATTAGAATTATAAATTAATAACATACATTTTTCAATCCACTTATCTCAACTTTATAATTTTCAACATAAATTTTTCCATCCTTTTCATTCAAATGTCCACTATCAACAATAATATCTGAACATTCCTTCGTTGCTTCTTGCGTCATTTCTGGACGAACCCCAGTTGAAGGTAGACTGCAGTAAATTTTTGGTGCAGAAACCCTCGGGCAAGTATTTTTACTTTGCTTTTGTTCAACTACAGTATTCTGCTCCTGTACTGCCTCTTCTTTATTTTGTTCCTCGATCGCCTCCTCTTTTATAGCCGAATCATTGCTATCATCTTCCGTTGATCCTTCACTTTCGTCCGGAGTTTCATCATCCTTCTTGTGGTCCATAGAAAAGGCACGTTTAGGTTGTTGTTGGATTGGGGATAATGAACGAGGCAGTGACATGCTTCCTGTTTAAAGGGAAAGAGGTAATGAGCGAGTAAAATTTTTGAATTGGTCATGGGGCTGTGTGAATGAGAGTTTTGTGCTTGTTCGATTTGGACTTAGTCTAATTGCTCAAGTTCCGAGAGCTCCAGGGTTTGAGGAAGGAGGTCCGGGATCCTGAGTCAAACTTAAGCGGAGGTCGGTACTATTATAAATCACCTGCTCTCTCTCGCTGTTTTCCTACTGCAGCCTTGCTAACATCAAGCTTCCCTAATAGATCCAAATCTTCTTGTGTCAAATTACTCGTTTTTGGAGCTGGGGGTTTTTCACTTTTAGTATTTATTTTTTCCATTAATCCAATTTCTTTATTGTTATCCTCCTCCTTCATGTCCTTCATGATTTCTATCGAATTTTTAACTAAAAATATTTGAAAAATTTAATATTAAGTAAACTTTCGTTATGAGGGAATGATTATATAGGAGAGATACACTTCCAAGATACCTTGTAAAATAGTCAAATGAGCACCTAAAATTATAAAATTTCGCATGCTTATCCTTAATACGTACATCTACATCTTCTGAAAATTTCAGAATTTTAGGACCAGAATTTCAGAAGTTATGGATGAAAAATCAGAAAAAATGGGAACTTTCATCAAAAATTCTGAGATTTCTGATCATAAATTCTGATTTACAAAACCAGAAATTCTGAAATTTTTAGAGAATCTAGATAACACTATTGGGGATATCTGAGCAAAATTTCATAGCTCTAGTAGCTTGTTTGACTTTTTTATGAGCTCGAAATCAATCGTTTCTTTAAGCAATCATTAAAGCCTCACCTTTACTTGAGTCAATCTTTTTCTCTTTATTTTTGTTTTTCTTTTGTTTTTTGAGTTGTTTTTTGTTGCTTTTATCATTAGTTCCTTCCTCTAATTCTTCCGGAGGTTTTAAGGTCTCGGATTCTTTAATTTTATCTTTTTCAGTATTTTTAGGATGCGATTCTTTAATTAATAAAACTCTAATTTATTTTATTTAATAAATATCAGTAGAGGCAGACCTCACAGAAAGATACCCCCAACACCTCACTTTCAGATACTCTCATTACCTCACTATAGGATATCCCTCTATGCTAGATCACCTCTATATAAGATAAGGTATTTAAAAATTTGATTGGATACTTGTTACCCTCTACATTATACCCTCTATTTAAATTACACCTCATCATAAAAAACTATTTTTCCTGTCCTAAGGGGTACTTATAATAAGGTCCGAGTGTATATGGTGCATTACGAACCTTTCTTGGTTGCCTTTTTCTTCTTAGCATTAATCTCATTAAAGCAGAACAATGCAACAAATGCTACAACAATCAAAAATTTTACATGCATTTTTGCATTCCCACTCTTTCACAGAATTTTTTTTATTTTATTAAATTATTCAAGGCTTCGTTACCTGAAAAGCTTTTTTTTATAATTTTTTAATCCCTTTTAGTTATTCCAATCTCTAATATATCCTATAATAGGTAAGGATAAGACAGAGATTGTATTGTCAGTAAAAATCCCTCGGATATCCCACATTCCCAGATATCACAATAAATCACTCAATCTCTCAATTATCCCCCCCCCCCTCCCTGAATTTTTGGAGGGTTGTAAATAATTTTAATACATAGGGGTTTAGTGGAGGTATTTTTAGAGCTAATAAGGAGATACTTAAATCTTTCTCAGCTATCCCAGGGTATTCTCCAACTTATATGTAATCTTCAAGATATCCCACTTTGCCAAATATCACAGGATATCACTTACTCTTTCAATTACCCCCCCCCCTTCCCCTTGAATTTTTGAAGGGCGTAAATTATTTTAATAAATGGGGGTTTAATAGAGGTATTTTAGGGATAATTAGGAGATACTTAAACTTAAAAAAAAATATTGGAATATTTGAAAATCGAGAGTGGGCTATAGGAATTTAAAAAATTTATTAAAATTTTTTTTAATTTTTAATTATAATCCTTTTAATTAATCGCCCACCCAAAGAGAATTCAATTAAAAAATTACTCAAATTTTAACCGGATTTGCCCTAATCGGATTTAATTATTAAAAAGGACAATAAATAAAGTGCTATTCAAGGAGCTTTGCGCACTCTTTTTATAAGACATTGTGTCTATTAAAATTTATTTTTAAATTTTAATTTAAACAAGTCTAGCAAAAAAAACTCGTGAGAGGAGGGGAATATGTCTAAAAAATAAATAAAAGGGCAAACTCGTGAAAGGAGAGGGGAAAATAAATTTTTTGGCGAGAATCCATTGAGTAGACCCATTATATCGAAAATTGTTAGGGAAAGGGCATTAAATAAATTTATACTTTTAAAGTAAACAACGGAAGGATCGAGTACTCGATTGAGTTTTTGACAGAGACGGTTCCTGGCCGGTCTAATTCTGGAATGGTGTTTTCCAATCTCCGGACTTGACAGGTGACTCCTACGACCAGTCTCTAGTCTGAATACTTATATAAGATACCTGAAAGAAATTTTTTTCAATTTCAGGCTCGATAAGTCTTATTGGGAGAGTTTAGTCTGAATTTCTAAATAAGGACCCATTAGGTACCTAGCAAGGGCGTAGCCAGGGGGTCGATTTCGGGGGGGGGGGGGGGCTAACACTGGGTGGGCGCCAAATTTTTGGCGTTTACCTTAGCGTTCCGGACGCAAATTTTTTTGTTCATAAATTTTCATCTTTTCTGCGCCGCAGGCGAAAATTTTTTGAATTTTGGAAGGCCGTAGGCCAAAAAAATTCACTTTTTTTGCGCCGCAGGCGAAAATTTTGAGGATTTTGGAGCTCAAGAAGCCAGACTTCATCCATTTTTTGCGCCGCAGGCGAAAATTTTTTAAAATTCGAAGGCCGTAGGCCAAAAAAATTCACTTTTTTCCCCAACGCCTTCCCCAAATTTTTCCCTTTTCCCCATTTCGGGGGGGGGCTTTAGCCCCAGAAGCCCCCCCCTTGGCTACGCCCTTGGTACCTAGAAAATTTTTTTTGTTTTTTTTGGATCATACCTTCCTTCATCTGTTAGTATTTTAAACGGAAACAAAGTTGTTTCCCAGATGCCCACCAGTGCTGCGTATTGGGTTTTTTTGCTCAGGCTCCGACCTTTTTCAAATCTTGGCATCGACTCCTGCACGGTGGTAGCATAAGCCATTTACAGACTTACATTCTCTGTATTATAATGCATTTTCATTGTGTAATCGAAGCCTAGCAAGCTCAAAAGTTTGATTTCTGTTGCTTGACCGTTTGTGATTTTGTGTCTTTGTTCAATTCTTTTGAAATATACCTTCATACATACAATTCACATTGAAATAATTATTCAAAAGTTTCTTATCTCTTAATCTTTATTCTTTCCATTGTTTTTAATTTCAACCCCTATATGGTGATCTAATGGATTTTGATTTGTAGTCGCTCAATCCCTTTAATCGGTTAAATCGGCGGCAAAAAACAAAAGTGCTAATGCCTGCCTAGTCTTTTAATCTGTGCCGGCTGTCGAGTTAAAAAGTGCAGCGAAAATACAATGCTGATGCAAGAAGAGGGAAGGGGAAATCATGTGAATTTAACAGGAAAAGCTAAAAATAAGACAATCATGTGAATTTACAGGAAATTTATTAGAAAGTGCAAAAATTTAAAAATACATTGAAATTGAAAATAATACTCGATTTACCGGTAAACTTATTGTTTTTTAATTAAACTTTAAGCTTAGTTGGGCGGTATTCTAAAAAGAGGTAGGGGTTAACTTACACGGTTCAGCGGTAGGGTTAATCAAGTGTCTTATTACAAAATGCTGGTAGTACTATAATATTAACACCTATCTTCGATTTAATCACTCAGGTAATAGACTCGCTAATATATGTAGAACCTTGTAAATTTACTAGATACTCCTACCCTCTATCTTGTTTATAATTTTTGAAGAACGATCAGCTATTGAACAGTTTTTCTGTCATAACTTTTTTTCTAACTTGTTAAAATCATACAATTCTTATTCTAAATAAATCTTGAATTTGTTAGCTTTTGAATGGTAGATGAACAATTACGGTTGCATTCTCGGCTAGAAAGTTATAAGCTTCGAAAGCAAGTAGCTTTAACGACAAAACTAGAAGCAACTTACCCCCGAAATTTTTAACTCTGAAATAATCTGTCCAATCTTGATAATTTTTATATCAATTTAAAGAGCAGAAAATTTGCTACAAGATTGCCAAAAATCAAATTAAAATATTCATTGGCAAAAAAGTTATGATCAAAAAACTAACTGTTTCAGTTAATTCGAATGGCCCTCCAAATGAGAGAAAAACAGTACATTTTAATTAATTTGGCGATGAAACGTCCAAAATAAAAGTCCGACGATGAAATTTTGGCTACAAAACGTTTTAAAATTAATTTTAATTTTTTCTGTGCTTCTCTAATTTACTCTCTCATTTTTAACGTTAGTCTCCCTTATATTTCTGCTTGAATTTTTATTTTAGCCTTTTAAATTTCGTTTCTTGGAATTTTTTTTTAATTTTTAATTTTTTTAAAGTTTAGAAGAAATTTTCATTTAAATATGGCTGAAGTCGAACAAATCAAACAAAATCAGAACGTTATTAGTGAGGAAGAGAAACAACAACTTGAAGCTTTAAATCGTTCTTTATTCGCTACAATTGCTGAATATACAAAAATTCGAAATGAACATGCAAAATTGATTGAATCACAATTATGTCCTATTAGATGTGATATTGAAAGACGCATTCGAGCAGCGGATTTAGGTTTTTTTGGAATTTTTTGGGGGTTTTACCTAGTATTAGGGTTGTGGTTTTCAAGTCGGGCCGACGTTCGAGTCATTTTTTCATGCTTAAATTTTATCGTGCCGACCCGGCCTGAGTCTTTTTCGGACCAAAATTTGATGCCCGACTCGATCTTTCGTACTGGACCGGGCCTCCAACCCTCCTAGGATCCCTCTAGGCCCAGGAAAAACCACAGTAAGGTCAAAAAATGCCTAGGCCTGGACTCTGGGTACAAGAAACCCCAGGCCTTGGTCCACGCCCAGCTCAATTCGCTGTCAGCGAATTAATCCACCCCTCCCGTCTAAATAATTTTTGATAATTTCCTGGCCATTATTTGGCAGATACGGCCAGGGTTTTTCATAAATCCCATCCTTTTCCAACCAATTTTTCAAAGAATTTTTCCATTTCCTATTTTTATCATTCAAAATTTAGACAATTTCGACAAACAAAAATTGGGCACAGTTTGTAATGATTTGCTTAATGGTCTTCGTCAAAAAGGCCGTCAATTGTGTGATCTATGTGATGCTATCAAAATGAGCTCGGAAAATTTGAATCAATTAAAACTGTGTTTAGCTGAATGGAGTGTCGGATCTGGAAAGGAAACGAAAGGAATAAGGCCAATTTGCTCGTCTTTTGATATGGTGGGGCATTTTCAGTTTTTTTGGAATTTTGTTGGGTTTTTCAAAAATCCGCAAATTTTGTCCGCAAATATTTTTTTAGTCTATTTTATTTTTAATTTTTAGCAAAAACGTCTTGAACTTCTAGAAAACCATTATGAGAAGTCATTAAGCGATTTTGGACGTGCGAAAAATGATTTGGACATTTTGGACAAACATTTGGAATTTAATGGGAATTTGTTACAAAGGTGTGGTTAAATTTTATATTTCAATTTTGGTTCTTATATTAACTAAAAATTTATGTGAGGGCCAAAAAGAGTGTTTTAGGCCATCGTAATGGCTGACAAATTTTATTCGGACTGAATAAATTTTTTGCGGACGTCCGCAAAGTTGTCCGCAAGTAAAAAATTTTTGCGGATTTCAGCAAAATTTGTCCGCAAATAAAATTTTTTGCGGACTTTCCCACAGATTTGTATTTTCTTAATTTTTAAATTTTTTAAAGCTTTAGTTTATCATCTTCACTTCAAACCGACGTTTTAACACCACTTGAACAGCACCAATTAATCCGTACCAACGATAACATTTCCAAAATGTGCGCCAAATTGGAGACAAGAATCCGACAAATTCGAACCCAACAAGAACTCCAAGAATCGAAAAAATTAAATAAAAAATCTGAAAAGGCTGGGACAAGCAAACTTTTTTCTTCTAAAAATTCTGAAGATGTTGCCTTTTTTTGTGTGCTTAAATTGGAGCAATTAAACATTTTTGAAGATGGGAAAGAGGGGAAGGTGAAGATGCAAAGTGACAATAATTTGGCTAATTTTAGACAAAATTTGTTCAATTATATGGAGGTTTGTTTTTTTCTATTAATTTTTAAAATTTTTTAAAACCTTGGGGAAATCTATGGGGTTGTCCGCAAGTTCTAAAAAATTTGCGGAGTTTCCATTGTAATTCTTCTGATTGCTTCTCTTGCTTTTATAATTTGAATTTTTTGTTTTTCGATAGTAAACCAAAATTATTGTTTCGGAATCTGTTTCTGGACTCCAAAATAGACGCCAAAAGTTTGGCTTACACCTTGCTATGCTTCCTAAATTCACCCCCTCTGTATATGTTCTTGATATGTATGTACTCTGTAAATTTTTAATGTAAATACGTCCGCAAAATCGTTGTCTGCAAGTTTTATGAGTTTGTGAGGATTTTTAAGATTTAAAAAATCTTTTGGGTTTTCGAATTTGAAATTTTCATTTTTTCTTAAATTTAAAAAAATAGAAGAAATTTTTTTTTACTCCTCTCAATTTTTTTAGAATCACAATTTATACAAAATACCTTTGGAAGGTAATGGCATTCGTCAAATTCAACCAATTCGGCCGTCCTTTCCCTCTGTTAAAGATAATCAAAAGAAGCCTAAAGATGTTGAAAATGATGAACAAAAATTGAAAAATGCCCTTTTGGAAGGTTTAAAACAACCCAAAAAGCAATTAGTTTCTATTGGTGTACAATCACCCGATTTTATGGCTTTAACTCCTCAAAAAGGTTTATTTTTGTAAAAAAAATTTTTTTTTGGGAACTTTAAAGGTTTAGGTTTATTCAAAATAGGGTCGGGGAGGGTTTATGAAACCAAGAAAAGAGCTCGATATCTGAGAAATTTTGGGAAGTATAGTGATTCATGTGTCTATTTTTTGATTTTATATGGACTGTCCAAAAGGGACGACTGCTTTTAAAATAACTTGAATTAATATACGAACTGAAATTTTCTTGGTTCAGGCCCTTCAGCTAACAATAAGCTTTCTAAAATTTGATTATAAAAAGGTATGGAGGTATGGACTTTAACGGGTTTAGGTGTATTTCCGTTTGTTAATTGAATCCGCTTTGTTAATTGTCATTTACTTTACCTCAAAATTTGAATGACTCCAACAAGACACTCGTTTGAGTGAGAAAGTTTTCATGTTGTTTTGTCAATAACGTTAAGCGAAAATTTAGGTCATTTAAAATTTTTTACATGTGTATAATCGAATTTTGTGGATTAATTGGGTGACCTTGAAGTTTTTTTTAAATTTTCTCAACCTTGACGAGCTGTGGTTTATTTAAATTTTCTCATTTTTCAGCTAAAAAGACTCCAACAAAAACACCAAAAAAGCCTCAAACAATTATCAAAACACCAGAAACACCCAAATCTACATTTGCTCAAACAAAAACAATCGAAGCTTTACCTAAAAATTTGGTTGGATATTCTAAAGATTTTACTACACCAACAAAAAGTGTTGATGAACCTTCATTTACTTTACCAGAAAATTTTACTTTTAATCAACAAAAACATGTTGTTACAGAAGGTTTTTTATATTTTAAATTTGAAAAATTGGGAAAGGTTTTGGATAAATATAATTTAAAAATAGGTGAGTTGGGAATTTCGAAATTTGCTTTATTAGGAAAATGAGAGGGAGACTTAGCCCCTCCAAAAATTTGAAACTTTGAAACCATATAATTTTTCGATTTGGAGGTCAGGGCAAAAGAAGCCAAAAATTTGGCATTCGGTTATATCGACCCTGCTTTACACACATTTATATGTGTATTTTTTGTCATAGTTCCCGTTGGTTCTATGTCAGTTTTGAAGAAATGGCATGGGTGTAGTTGTATTGTTTTCTGGGGGATTATTGGATATATGGTGCTTTTAATGAAAATCTTTGATAACTGTTATAATTTTTTGTGTTCTAAATATTCTATGATGAACCCAGGACCTTGTTGCTAACTCCAAAAAATTTTTTTAAGTCTTTTTTCTTCAATTTTAGCCTCTACCGATACCACAACAGCTACTTCTCCAAATCTTTTACCAACATTATTAACTACACCTTCAACTACTTCAATTCCTACATCAACCATTTTAACACCAGCAATAACAACAACAACCCCAAATATTGCTTCAAAACAAGTTGATACTCTTTTACCTAGAACACCCCCAGCATTATTAAAAGAAAATGAAGGAAAAGAAAAAACGCTAGAAAAGGAAGAAGAAAAATTGAAGGAAAAGGAAAATTTATCTTTGGAGAAGGAAAAAGTTGAAGAACCTGAAAAACTGAAAGAACAACAACAACCATTAATTAGTGTTGGGGGAGATGAAGGAATGGAAGATGAAATTATTGTTGCACCACCAGCAGTTATTAGTAATAGTAATACTTCACAAGAACAGTCTAGTATATCTAGTGTTAATTTCAATTTTAATATGGGGTAAGGTTAAGAAATTTTTTTGAAATTTTGGGAAAAAATTTTGCGGACATTTTTACGGACATTTCTTATTTTGCGGACGTTTTCTGTTTTTGCGGACATTTTTTCATTTTTGCGGACATTTTTTCATTTTTGCGGACATTTTCTGTTTTTGCGGACATTTTCTCGTTTTTACGGACATTTTCTGATTTTTGCGACATCTTCTCATTTTTACGGACATTTTCAAAGTAAAATCTTTCATAACCTCCGGTCACGGATAGGGTTGGATGATCTGGATCCAAAAAGTCTAGATATCCGCAAATTTTCGCTTTGGATATTGGATTCGGGGATTTTTTAGAATTCTCCTACCCTGGTTTAGGAGCTTGTTAAAATTCTTAAAGTCGCAAAAAATGTCCGCAATTTTTTTTAAAATTAATTTAAAAAATTTATTTTTTCATCAAGAGGATTGGGTGCAACATCAACTCCAGTCAATGCAAGTCGAAATCCTTTTGGTTCAATTCAACCAAAACCTGGCGGCCTTTTTAGTGGGTCTCCACAAAGTGAATCATGGAGGTCTCCTTTCAGTCCTTCTGTTAATACAAATCAAAATAATAGTGGAGCTTTTGGATCTTTTGGAGCAATTAGTAGTGGAGGTGGGGGTGGTGGTAGTTCTGGATCTTCAGGTGTTGTTTTTTTATTGGTTTTTTAATTGAAAACGGCAAAAATATACGAGGATTTGGGGTCGATTATTAGTCTGTTCCTCGGCTTTCGGTCCCAATTCGGTTAACTGTTTGTGTCCACTTTGTATTTGTTGTGTCCGCATTTGCAGGTGGAATATAAATCAAAATATATAACCCGTCATCGGTTTGGATGGTGGCACATTTGGTTGTGCTTCTGTTTGGGCCCTTTCCATGATGCTTCTATTCCATCTCCCATCCAATGAATTTTCCACAGCATGCACATAATGTCAATTATATAACATTCTGTTTCATTTTTACAGGTTTTGGTACTTCTCCTTTTGCTTCTGCTCCAATAAAACCTTCAGTATTTGGAGCAGCCCCAGTTTGGAACAGTCCTTTTGGTGGTGGGGGTATGGCTAGCAGTGGTGGTTCTTCAGGTGCTGGAAGTGGAGGAGGAGGTTCTATGTTCGGTGGTGGAATTAATAAAAGTGGTGGTTCTACAACAACAGGGATTGGAACAACTGGATTTTCTGCGTAAACTCTATTTTCTCTCTCTCCAATTTTCTCTCCTTAATAAAATTAAAAATGATCAAAAAGGCATAATGTGATCAGAAATATTGGGAAACTAAAAATAATATCGTCCTTTTTAAATTAATTTGATTATTTACCATTATGACCCCGGGACTATTTGTCATTTTTTGAAAATGAAGATTTCTCTCCTTTATAAGGAAAGGGGAGATTTTAGGAGGGATTAATTGGAGAGTAACTTTTAAAGAAACGTTTTTTAAATTATTTTTGTGTCTAGTTTTGCTTCAAAATCATCAGCCTTTGGACAATTGGCAAGTCAAGCACAACAACAAAATGAACAACAAAAACCTTCTCTATTTGGTGGAGGTACCGCTTCGTTAAACACTTCAGGCGGTGGTGGTGGAGGATCAGTTTTTGGAGGGTAAATTATAAAAAAAATTATTAGAAAAATTGGGGCTCTTCTATAGACTCTCATGAAGTCTGTCGAACAGTCTTTTTTTAAAGACTCTCGATATTGGATGCTAGGGTTGGGGTTTTCGAGTCGGGTCGACGTTCGAGTCATTTTTTCGGGCTTCAAGTTTATCGGGCCGACCCGACCGAGTCTTTTTCGGGCCAAAATTTGATGCCCGACTCGATCCTTCGGACCGGACCGGGCCCCCCAACTCTACTGGATACCCCTTTCAATTCAAGACATTTAGTTAAAGTTCGGTTGGTTACCAGATGGAGGGAGTCTAAGCGATACCTCCAATTACCCTTTCTAATTAATTTACACCTGCATTATAAGGCTCTGATTTCTCGGTTCCAATTGGGTGTCTTTTAGTGAAATCTGTCTCTGAAAAGCTTGAAGATTTTATTTCCGCAAATTTTAGATTTGGTGGTTCTCCAACCTCAAATACAGGAGTTAAGCCTGCGTTTGGTCAAAAATCGTGAGTGAAAAAAAAACTTTTTTTTAATTAATTTTTTGATTTTTTAGATCGGCCTTTACAACATTTCGAAAATGAGAAATTATTTAATTTAAAAAATTATTTTTTTTTTTGAAAATATACGAAAATATTTTTTTGATTATTTTATTTTAAATTTGATATTTTTTTGAAATAAAAATTTTCTTTTTTTTTTGACGATAAATCTTTCAAAAAAAATTTTTTTTAATCAATATTTTGCTCTAAATGCTAATTAATGCATGTTTTATATATTTTTTTTTAAATTTCGTTGTTAGCTTTTAAATAATTTTTTTTAAATCAGTTTCCATTTTCCATACAACAAAGGAAACGGACAAGCAAAAAATCAATATTTATCCAGAAGATGTTGAACAGAGAAGTCTTCGAGTTTGTTGGATGCTGGTGGAGGAAAAATTTTTTGGTTTGTAATTTTTTGAATAAAGTTTTTTTTCGAAAGAATTTTTGAAAATTTTTGTGAACAAATTTCTATACATTAAAAATTCCATTTTTTTCTTTTAGGACGCCAACATCAACAGTTCAACAACAACTCTTCAACAGCAACTCAAGTCCCCCTGCCTTGTGCAGGGGGCAACTCAAGTCCCCCTGCCTTGTGCAGGGGGCAACTCAAGTCCCCCTGCCTTGTGCAGGGGGCAACTCAAGTCCCCCTGCCTTGTGCAGGGGGCAACTCAAGTCCCCCTGCCTTGTGCAGGGGGCAACTCAAGTCCCCCTGCCTTGTGCAGGGGGCAACTCAAGTCCCCCTGCCTTGTGCAGGGGGCAACTCAAGTCCCCCTGCCTTGTGCAGGGGGCAACTCAAGTCCCCCTGCCTTGTGCAGGGGGCAACTCAAGTCCCCCTGCCTTGTGCAGGGGGCAACTCAAGTCCCCCTGCCTTGTGCAGGGGGCAACTCAAGTCCCCTTGCCTTCGTGCAGGGGGCAACTCAAGTCCCCCTGCCTTCGTGCAGGGGGCAACTCAAGTCCCCCTGCCTTTGTGCAGGGGGCAACTCAAGTCCCCCTGCCTTTGTGCAGGGGGCAACTCAAGTCCCCCTGCCTTGTGCAGGGGGCAACTCAAGTCCCCCTGCCTTGTGCAGGGGGCAACTCAAGTCCCCCTGCCTTGTGCAGGGGGCAACTCAAGTCCCCCTGCCTTGTGCAGGGGGCAACTCAAGTCCCCCTGCCTTGTGCAGGGGGCAACTCAAGTCCCCCTGCCTTGTGCAGGGGGCAACTCAAGTCCCCCTGCCTTGTGCAGGGGGCAACTCAAGTCCCCCTGCCTTGTGCAGGGGGCAACTCAAGTCCCCCTGCCTTGTGCAGGGGGCAACTCAAGTCCCCCTGCCTTGTGCAGGGGGCAACTCAAGTCCCCCTGCCTTGTGCAGGGGGCAACTCAAGTCCCCCTGCCTTGTGCAGGGGGCAACTCAAGTCCCCCTGCCTTGTGCAGGGGGCAACTCAAGTCCCCCTGCCTTGTGCAGGGGGCAACTCAAGTCCCCCTGCCTTGTGCAGGGGGCAACTCAAGTCCCCCTGCCTTGTGCAGGGGGCAACTCAAGTCCCCCTGCCTTGTGCAGGGGGCAACTCAAGTCCCCCTGCCTTGTGCAGGGGGCAACTCAAGTCCCCCTGCCTTGTGCAGGGGGCAACTCAAGTCCCCCTGCCTTGTGCATGGGGCAACTCAAGTCCCCCTGCCTTGTGCAGGGGGCACAAATTTTGGAGTGTCCATATGCCGTTTTGTACATGGGACCTGTCCCCTGCTTCGGAGGGGGCCTTTAAGCATTTAAAATATTTACCCAGGGTAGATATTTAAATAAGGGTTAAAATTTGTTTGTTACTAGATGGAGGGGAGTCTAAACGATACCTCCCAATTACGCCCTATTTAGTTTACATCTACATTATAAGGTAGAGATTTTTTGTTCTAATTGGGTATCTTTTAGTTGAATCTTACTCTGCAAAGCTTGAAAAAATTTTCCGCAAATTTTCAGATTTGGTGGTTCTCCAACGTCAAGTACTGGAGTTAAGCCTGCGTTTGGTCAAAAATCGTGAGTGAAAAAAATTTTTTAAATTAATTTTTCAAATTTTTATAGTTCGGTCTTTACAACATTTCGAAAATGAGAAATTATTTAATTTAAAAAAAATTATTTTTTTTTTGAAGATATATGAAAAATTTTTTTGATTATTTTATTTTAAATTTGATATTTTTTTTGAAATAAATACCTATTAAATAAATTAAATTTCTGAACGCATCATTTAATCGGGCTTTATCGTTATTAATTTTTCTTCTTGAATCTAAGAATACAAAGAAAAAAATATTTTAAAGTTTTCTCAATAATAATTATAAACATTTTTTAATTTAGTTCATTTTAAGCTTATTTAAAAAAAATCACGCAATTTTTCATTAAAAATTTTTTTGTTTACATTATTTTTTGTAGTGACTAAATTGTAGCGAAAAAAAATTTTTTTTTCTTTAAAAAATGTTTAAAGGAATAAAAATTTCGTGAGGGTAAAATTGAACTTTCTCGTGATACCCATAAACAAATTTTATCAAATTATGAACAAAAAGACGGATGTCGTTTCAGGGAATATTTTTTATTTTAAACGAAAAATGTTTGCCTTTTTATTAGAAATATTTAAAAAATGTTTTTTAAAAATTAATTTATACTTTCGGAATATTATCTTTAATTAGAAACAAAAAAATTATATTTCTAAAAAAAATTCAGGCACACCTTTTAAGTATTAAAATTATAAAGGTCCCATAAAAATTCTTTCAGTCTCAATTTTAACACCTCAGTTCGAATACAGGGTGCGGCAAAAGTTCCCGTACTTTTATTAAGCGTAAAATTTTTTACAAATATTTTCTTAAATTTTCTAAAATCTATAAAAAAGTGTTTATTAGATTCTAATTAAAAGATAATTATAACAAATGTCCAAAATGTCCTCCCTCCGCCAAGATATACGCGTCAAAACGCTTACTGAATTTGCCCACTATGGTCGCGCACGCATCTACAATAATTGAATCCCAGGTGATCTAGGGATAGCTGGGATCTAGGGATAGCTGGGTTAAGAAAAAATAGCTGGCGAGTTTCAAAATTTTCTTTCACAACAAATTTTTGTTAACCCTGCCCATCCCTAGCTCTGACCGTTTTCTTCTCTTTTTCGGTTATATTTCTAAAATAAAAAGACTTGTCCATTCAATGGTCCTCTATATTGGATTCACAACCCTAACCTGCCTTTTATCTTCAAATCAATTTTGTGTTCGAAAAATTATTTCCAAAAATGTTCTATAGACCTACAATTGTTTTCTTAAAAAGAAATGTTTTTTGTGTTTCAAATAATTTAAAATAATTTTTTAAATTTATTGTTTATATTTTTTAGAAATTGTTTTGTTAAAATTAAGAATACTTACACGCATGTGTTTATTTTTGTTTAATTCTTTGTTTAATTTTAATTTAAAAAATACAAAATTTAATTGTTTAAATATAGAGAAATAATTTGTTTACTAGCTTACATTCTGATTTTTTGTGCGTTCTGATTTTTATTAATTTTAATTGAATTTCTGATGTTAAATTCTGATTTTTATTTTGTAATTGTAGATTCTGGTTTGTAAAATATATTTGTGTCTTCTTGAACAGAAATTCTGATTTTTAAATTCTGACTTAAAAAATCAGAATTTTTATTATTTTCGAAATTCTGATTTATATATTGTAATTGTAAATTCTGATATTAAATTCTGGTTTTTACTTTTCTAATAAAAATTCTGATTTTTAAATTATAATTAAATTCTGGTTTGTAAATTCTGATTTTCTGATTTTTAATCTGATTTATATCCATAATTGTAATTCTGATTTTTATTTTACAATTGTAAATTCTGGTTTTTAATTTTTACAATTGTAATTCTGATTTTAACTATTCTGTATTTTTAGGTGAAAATTCTGATTTTCAAATTATAATTAAATTATGGTTTGTAAAATCTGATTTTTAAATTCTGATTTTTAAAACTGTAATTGTGAATTCTGATTTTTATTCTGATTTTGGGTATTTTGTATATTCTTAAATTAAAATTCTGATTTTTAAATTATAATTAGATTCTGGTTTGTAAAATATATTCTCTGATTTTTAATGTAATTCTGGTTTTTATTTTTCAATTGTAAATTCTGATTTTTAACTATTCTGTATTTTTAAGTGGAAATTCTGATTTTTAGGTATAAGAAAATGAATACTTCAACACCAACAACAAACCAAACAGAATTAATTATTCTATCTCCATTAATTTATTCATTATTAAATATATTATCAACAAATGTAGCTATTCCACACATTATTGCTGGAATAATAGGAATACCTTCTGCTTTACTTTATATTTTTGAATTAATTATTTTATATAAAAAATGGAAGGAATTTAAATCTTCTTTTTTTGTTCTATTCTCTCTTAGAGCCATTATTGTAAAAAATTAAAATTTTTTGAAAAATTTATAAAAAAAATTCCAAAAATTTTCTAAAATTCCTAAAAAATTTCCAAAAAATTCTAAAAAATTTTTTCAAAATTTTCCAAGGAATTTAAAAATTTCAAAAAAAAATTTTTTAGAAAAAATTTTCTAAAAATTTTAAATTTTTTCAAAAATTTTCTAAAATTCTGAAAAAATTTTGGAATTTTCATAAATTTCTAAACTTCTAAAAAAAATTTTTAATTTTTCTAAAAATTTCTAAAAATTTTTTTCACCCCTTCAGAGTCTCACCAATAAATACCTATTAAATAAATTAAATTTCTGAACGCATCATTTAATCGGGCTTTATCGTTATTAATTTTTCTTCTTGAATCTAAGAATACAAAGAAAAAAATATTTTAAAGTTTTCTCAATAATAATTATAAACATTTTTTAATTTAGTTCATTTTAAGCTTATTTAAAAAAAATCACGCAATTTTTCATTAAAAATTTTTTTGTTTACATTATTTTTTGTAGTGACTAAATTGTAGCGAAAAAAAATTTTTTTTTCTTTAAAAAATGTTTAAAGGAATAAAAATTTCGTGAGGGTAAAATTGAACTTTCTCGTGATACCCATAAACAAATTTTATCAAATTATGAACAAAAAGACGGATGTCGTTTCAGGGAATATTTTTTATTTTAAACGAAAAATGTTTGCCTTTTTATTAGAAATATTTAAAAAATGTTTTTTAAAAATTAATTTATACTTTCGGAATATTATCTTTAATTAGAAACAAAAAAATTATATTTCTAAAAAAAATTCAGGCACACCTTTTAAGTATTAAAATTATAAAGGTCCCATAAAAATTCTTTCAGTCTCAATTTTAACACCTCAGTTCGAATACAGGGTGCGGCAAAAGTTCCCGTACTTTTATTAAGCGTAAAATTTTTTACAAATATTTTCTTAAATTTTCTAAAATCTATAAAAAAGTGTTTATTAGATTCTAATTAAAAGATAATTATAACAAATGTCCAAAATGTCCTCCCTCCGCCAAGATATACGCGTCAAAACGCTTACTGAATTTGCCCACTATGGTCGCGCACGCATCTACAATAATTGAATCCCAGGTGATCTAGGGATAGCTGGGATCTAGGGATAGCTGGGTTAAGAAAAAATAGCTGGCGAGTTTCAAAATTTTCTTTCACAACATATTTTTGTTAACCCTGCCCTGGCTCTGACCGTTTTCTTCTCTTTTTCGGTTATATTTCTAAAATAAAAAGACTTGTCCATTCAATGGTCCTCTATATTGGATTCACACCCCTAACCTGCCTTTTATCTTCAAACAATTTTTTTTGTTCGAAAAATTATTTCCAAAAATGTTCTATAGACTAAACAATTGTTTTCTTAAAAAGATTATTTTTGTCAAAAAAAATTTTTATTTTAAATTTATTGTTTATATTTTTTTAGAAATTGTTTTGTTAAAATTAAGAATACTTACACGCACGTGTTTATTTTTGTTTAATTCTTTGTTTAATTTTAATTTAAAAAATACAAAAATTAATTGTTTAAATATAGGGAAATAATTAGTTATATAGCTTACATTCCGATTTTTTTGTGAGTTCTGATTTTATTTTTTTGTTGGGTTTTCTGATGTTAAATTCTGATTTTTATTTTGTAATTGTAGGCTCTGGTTTGTAAAATATATTTGTAATTTTTTAAATGAAAATTCTGATTTAAAAAATCAGAATTTTCATTATTATACGAAATTCTGATTTACACAATGTAATTGTAAATTCTGATAATAAATTCTGGTTTTTATTTTTTAAATGGAAATTCTGATTTCTTAAATAATAATTAAATTCTGGTTTATAAAATATATTTTCTGATTTTTAAATTCTGATTTATATCCATAATTGTAATTCTGATTTTTATTTTACAATTGTAAATTCTGATATTAAATTCTGGTTTTTAATTTTTATAATTGTAATTCTGTTTTTTAACTATTCTGTATTCTTAAGTGAAAATTCTGATTTTCAAGTTATAATTAAATTCTGGTTTGTAAAATCTGATTTTTAAATTCTGATTTTTAAACTGTAATTGTGAATTTTGATTTTTATTCTGATTTTGAGTATTTTGTATTTTTAAATTACAATTCTGATTTTTAAATTATAATTAGATTCTGATTTACATATTGTAATTGTAAATTCTGATTTTCTGATCTTTATTCTGATTTATATCCTATAATTGTAATTCTGATTTTTATTTTTTATTTTTAATTCTGATTTTTATTTTACAATTGTAAATTCTGATTTTTAATTATTCTGTATTTTTAAGGGAAAATTCTGATTTTTAAATAAGACAATGAATACACCAACACCAACAACTAACCAAACAGAATTAATTATTTTATCTCCATTTATTTATTCATTATTAAATATATTATCAACAAATGTAGCTATTCCACACATTATTGCTGGAATAATAGGAATACCTTCTGCTTTACTTTATATTTTTGAATTAATTATTTTATATAAAAAATGGAAGGAATTTAAATCTTCTTTTTTTGTTCTATTCTCTCTTAGAGCTATTATTGTAAAAATTAATTTTTTTTTTAAATTTTATAAAAAAATTTCGAAAAATTTCTAAAAAAAATTAAAAAAAATTTCTTAAAAATTTTCAAAATTCCAAAAAAAATTTTTTTTTAATTTTCTAAAAATCTTCTAAAATTCCAAAAAAAATTTCAAAATTTTTTCAAAAAATTTTCAAAAAATTCAAAAATTTTTTTTGAATTTTCCAAAAAATTTTTTGGAAAATTTTCAATTTTCCAAAAAATTTCTAAAAATTTTTTTCACCTCCTTCAAGAGTCTCACCAACCTCTTCCTTTCTTATCTGAATCAAAGATTTCTCAAATTCAGCTGGTTTGTTTCTACCTACCAGCAAATGCCTAATTTACTACTGGCAACTTTTTACTTTTTTATTTACTATCCTTTCCATGTTGAAAATTTAATTGGCGTTTTGTTGATAATTAACAGGCTTACTTCTATTTTGTTTCCATTGGAATATGAAAAGGCAGGGATTTAAAAAAAATTTTCAAATGCCCTTACACGTAGGGCTTCGGTTCCGAGTTGAATCGGAGAGGCACTTAAGGCTTAAGGCTCTTAAGGTTAATGCTTACGGCTAGGGTTGTTGGTTTCGAAGATGAGAGAGAGAGGTGAGCCGAACCGAATAGATCCTCACGCTCTCTCTCAAACAAGGCACTCGTGAACTTGAATTTTGGAATTTTTTCATGTAGAGAATGGACCCACTGCGAATTTTTCAGTTTCTGGGATTAACCCCACCCCCATTGAATTATCCCTTCAAAGACCATGTCCTTATGAAAAATGTCCTTAGGATTTTAAATATACCATGCCCTTCTAATGTAAGAAGGCCCTTCCAATACTCTTATAATGCCCCTAACTGACATTGAGTTAGGGCATTTATAAGTTAGGGGCATTAACTAACTGACATCTTTATAATTTCCTTATAATCTCATTAAAATTATTATTAAATTTCTCAGATTTGGAAAAAGCCACGAATGATAGCAGCAATTCTCTTTTCCTGTGTGGCACCTCTAATAGTTACAATACACATTTTTCAATATAAAGTTTATCTAAAGGAAGTAAAGTCTAATGGATTTATGTTAGCATATGCTGCATTGACTGGAACCAATTTAATTGTATATTATTTTAATTTTTTCATAAAAATCCTTTGGATATATTTAAAAATCCTTTGGATATTCGGACCGAACCAAAGACCGGTCATAGAAGTGTTAGAAAATTGTCAGCCTAGTTTTAAAGTACAATAGGCCAGACAAGTACAATAAGGCAGAAGATTGGAATATAAATGGGCCAGGAAGGATTAGCTGAACAGAAAATCATTGGATATCCGAACAATCCCATATCTGACTTAAAAAATTCTCGGCTCCTAGGTTCAGTTCAGAATCAATAACAGGGCTGGTTATGCCCTCGGGAGCTTATTCCCGGGACTGTCTTCCGAGCCGGCTTCGGGCCATCTTCCGAGCCGGCTTTGGACCAAAGCCTAGACGGATCTGAAACGGATCCCAGAAATTTTAAACCATGAAGTGAGTCACAAAACGCTCAGCCCCCCACTGATTACAGCCTTATTTTGAATTCCAAAAATAAATTCACTCCTGATTATCCCCAATTATTATTTATTAGTTTCAGGGCTTCATTAACGGCCAGCAACTTTTCGGCCCCTTTTATTCAAGCAACAATGGAGTTGCCACCCTCGCATCCTTCTTTTTTATGGGAATTTCAATAATTTTGAATATCTATACTTTAATATGTTACAAACGGAAACATTATATTCCCCAAAATAACCCTCAACTTTCTACTAATAAATTATTAGTGGAACGTAGAATTACTGTATTTGTGTTGGTGACATTTATTGGACAGTTGATTGTCTCGCTTTTTATGGTAAACACAGAAAATTAATTTACATATAGGTTTGGGCCCTTTAAAAAAATTTTTTTAAAGAGGGCTCAAAATGGTCAAAAGTTTATTTTGGAGTGTAAACTACAAAAAATTTAAAAAACTAGTCTACATCAATATGTAAACTACAGTAACCCTTTACCTATAGGGATCGGATTCTTCAAAAAAAATTTTTTAAAGAGAGTTCAAAATGGTCAAATTTTTATTCTGGAGTGTAAACTACAGAAAACTAAAAAAATGTACTAGATACGTAAACTCACACCTTACCTATGGTGATTGAATCCTACGAAAAAAATTTTAGTTTAGGGCTCAAAATGGTCAAAAGCTTATTTCGCAGTGAGACCGTTAAGGATACATTTGTTTAATAACCTAAAACACAATAATAATAAAAATACAGTTACATTTCCAGATAACCTGGTATACAGTATCTGCTCCATTAAAGCCTTATTTGGACACTGAAACCTATAATATGACCAATTATGCTGTATTAAATCAGAGTGGGTTTATTTCACTGTTCTTTGACCTTAGACCCAAAATAATTCTGATTTTTACAGGCCCCTGGGTAAACGACATTTCTACAATTGCATTGCCCGCCTGGCTAATGCTTTGGGCTAATGAGCGATTGAAATGTGAACTTTCCAAGCATTTTTACAAAACTAAGAAGAACATTCTCAACTTGATTGGAGTTAAACAACAGACGATGGTCACAACCTTCGATTCCAGTCAAATACAAAATGTTAATGGGCAACATAGAATATCAATTCAAAAGTCTATGGCTAGTGATGTTAGGAGAAATCTTACAAATACTTTAAGAGAAAATGAAGATCGAAAGAGAGTGTCTATACATTCGTAAATTACATAATAACAGTTGATAACATAAATCATATAATAATATGTATATAACATAATCACATAAATCACATTAATAACAACTAGCTACGGCTAGCTTTTGTCTCTCCGGAGCAGGCGTCGATCGGAATTCCGACGTCGCGGATTCGATAATTTTTAACACAGTTATAGCCTGCGGTACATTGGGTAGTTGGACTAACGAATATTTGCGCAGGCACGTATTTATTGAAAACACGTATTTATTGAACACACACTTGGTATACTAGGGTTTCATGTCGAAAAAGGTCAGGGGTTGAAGCATCGGATAACTTGATCCCTCACTGATGTACACTCACTCATGTAAATTGAAACCCTTATAGTGAAGGGTGCTTAGATTGGGGAGTATTGGTTAGCTAGTTCCAGCTAGCAATACTATAACAAATTGTAAAAATATGTAATTATTAAATAAAACAAGTGTTCCACAAATACGTGCCTGCGCAAATATTGAAAGAAAATTTTTATTATTTTATTTATCTTCCCATTCTGCATTCAATAAACAATCAAAAAATAATTTTCCTATTCTTGTCCAATAATTCCTTTAAAAAATTTTTAAAATCCCCTATATACAATTATCAATGTTCTTCATTCCCTTAACTATCGCAATCATTCATTTTATCATTTTAACCAAGAGTCAAGACCCTTTATCTCTATCACAAGTAGAAGAGCCCCAAAGAGGGGCTAATAGACTAATTACTGCAGTTAGACCAAAAGTGACTACACCAACTTGGAGAAGTAAAAACACAACTCCTCGACCTGGAAAGAGTGATAAAAATACTCGGTATATTAGGGGAAATTAATTTTAAAAAATATTTACGAAGATGATTCCATTAATAATTAACCTGGGACACTATTAGAAAAACAGACAGGGATGGGCCGGGTTCAACGGAACACGATACCCTAAATCCTGACTTTTTATCTATCCAAAGCACGACCCGACTTTTTTGTTAACCAGGCTTATACAAACCAGGCTCATACATATGTACTAGGGTTTCACCGGAACCGAAATTATGACCGGAACCGGAACCGGATCCAATTTGAGTTCCGGTTCCCGGAACCGGAACCGGAACCGGAACCAAAAAAGGCCGGAACTTTCCGGAACCGGAACCGGAACTTCCGGTGAAACCCTAATATGTACGTGTTGCCAAGACACTCCATGTGGCAAATAAAAATTAAAAATCCACTCATATTTTGATAGAGTAAAGAAAAGCCGCCTATTGCAAAGCTGTAGGAATTAAATAGCCATTATTACAATAATATTGTGGATAGCTAATAATGAGATTCAACTGATTTTCAGCTATAATAATTATGATATCGTAGAATTAATTCCCAATTAGAATTAATTCACTAATTAGAATTAATTAACCAATTAATTCCCAAAAAATTTTTTTATTTTATCTAAGGGACGAAAATAAAGCTCCAAGAATCGGCCCGATAATTTTGCCAAACGATTCAATTGAAATACACTTGCCAGAAAATGGGGAAGGAAAGCATGAATTAAATTACAATAAATGTGGGCTTATTTATTTAATAAATTCCATAAAATAAATTTTAGACACCCCAGCCCCCGATAGAGCAAGAAATTGCCTGTCGTTAGCTCAGTATTGCAATCACCGAGCATATAGAAAAATATTACAAAGGTTTGGAAAAATATTGTATACTTCTGATTTTTGTTCTGGAGTAATTCTAATTTTATTTCTGATTTTTTTAGTTTTGATTCTGATTTCTTACCTTAATTCTGACATTAATTCTGATTCTTCTGAGTTGATTCTGATTTTAATTTTGATTTTTTCTGTTTAATTCTGATTTAATTTTAACATAATTCTGATTTTAATTCTGATTTAATTCTGATTTTTCTGGTTTTGATTCCGATCTTAATTCTGATTTTTTTATCTTAATTCTGACATTAATCTGATTTTTCTGGTTTAATTCTAATATCGAGCTGATTCTTCTGAGTTGATTCTGATTTTACTTCTGATTTTTCTGATTTAATTTGGATCTTAATTCTGATTTTTTAAAATTTGATTCTGATTTTATTTCTGATTTTTTGGTTTTTGATTCTGACATTAATTCTGATTTTATTCTAAATACCCACAAAAACATTTAATTTAAAAACAATTTTCAGTTCAGGCATTGCCAAACAACCTGCGCAAGGGATGACTGTTTAGATCAAAGAGGAGATCTGTAAATAATTTAATTAATAAATTAATTAATTCAATATTTTAGCTGTTTACATTGGGAAAATAGAGGATTTTGTAAACACCCATTTTATAAAAAAATGCGTTGGAAATGTTCGAGAACCTGTGGACTTTGTCAAATAAATTAAAATTCTGATTTTATTCTGTATTTACAATTGTAAATTTATTTTTCTTTTATGATTAAACTTAATTCTGATTTCTTGTTTGTGTACATATTTTATTATATTCTGTTATGATTCTGTATTTTTAAGTTATTGTTGTTGGCTGTGATAATTCTAATTTTTGTTAATTCTGGTTTATTTTCTCAATTCTGATTTTATTCTGTATAGGTATATGATTTAATTCTGGTTTTCTGCTTTTATTTATTCTGATTTTAATATTCTGATTTATTTAATTCGGATTTTATTGAATCAACAATTAATTAAATGAATTAACAATTAATTGTTTAATTCTGATTTTTTAATTCTGATTTTATTTATTTCTGATTTTTTAATTCTGATCCTAATTCTGATTTAATTAATTTAAATTAATTCTGATTTTATCCATTTCGGTCTTAATTCTGATTTTTAATTCTGTTTTTATTATTCTGATTTTTAATTCTGATTTTTATTCTGATTTTATTAATTCTGTTTTTATTAATTCTGATTTAATTGTGATATTCTGATTTCTATGTATAATTAAATTCTATTTAATTTTTTCTATTCTGGTTGTTTAAATTCTGAAATTAATTCTGATTTTATTAATTCACATTTATTTGTCTATTCAGAATTAATTATCAGAATAATTAAATAAAATTAAATTCCCTGTCTGGTCAATAAATTTTATTTTATTTTATTTTTATTCTTATCTTGTATTATTTCTGTTCTAAAAATATTTTAAGCACTTTTATTTTTTAATAAAAATAATGATTCATCAGCAAATTTGTTTTTGTTGACCTTACATTTTTTTTTATTTTCAACAGCTGTCTTTTATTTTTCTTAGTAAACTTCTCCGAATGCTTTTTAAAATTCCTTCCCTTTTAGTGTGAATCAGAAAAATAAATAAAAATAAAAATATTTATTTAATGGAAGAATAACAAATTTCATTCAATTCTCTTCGTAAATTGAACAATAAAAAAAATCCTTTCATTTTTAAAATATATTTTTCCAATCGGAGTGTTTTATTGAATTTAATTGATAGTTTGAAGTGTTCTGAATTTTAATCTGATTTATTACAGGGTGCGGCATAAGTAACCGGACACTTTTAAATTCCTTATAACTTTTTTCATTGTCAATATTTTTAATTGATTTTAGGCTTATTTTTTAGCTCATTCAATTCTCTATTATGGCTAGTCAACGTGATTCTATAATCTCACTTTTTTTGCAAAAAAATTCAGTCCGCAAAATTTCATCTCTTTTGAATGTCCCAAAGAGCACTGTAAAGACACAATCAAAAAATTCTGGTGAAAATTTTTTGGGAGAAAATTTTTTTGAAATTAATTTAGTAATCATGGCACAACTCAGAACTTACAAAAAAGTGGAAGACCTCGTTCCGTAATCACTTCCAAGAATATTAAATTAAAAAATATCCCCTCTGATATCCCAGACAAACAGAAAATAAGTATCTCTCTCATACCCCACTTATCGCAGAAATCCGCAATCTCATTAATATCGCATTTACCCTAAAACCAGAAATCTTCTGATCTCCCATACATCACAAAAAATATAGTATCTATTAGAGATCGATATTTTCAAAAATCCTGGATCTGGATTCTGGATCTGGATTTAGGTTAGTAACCTGGACAGGATTCTTGATCTGGATCCAGGAAAATCCAGATCCAGAAAAAATCCAGGATTTTTTTGGTCTGGATCCAGCCTGGATTTCTGGATTTTTTTCTAAATCCACAGATATCCTGCTTAATTATTAGATATCCCTCCAAATCCCCTGATACTCTTCTTGACTCTGGATCCAGAAAAAATCCAGACTGGATCCAGATCCAGACCGATCTCTAGTATCTATCTATTATCTCTCTCAGTTATCCCAGAGATATACCAAATGTCATTAAACACCAGAATCTCTCAGATATCCCACTTCACTAATTCCCAATACTCATTCAATATACCTTCCTAAGATTTCAACCTTTCAGACTTTTCGTTTGAAGAATATTTCAACTATACCCAATTTAAGATTAAATTCAATAAAAAAAAATGTTTGGAAAATCTGCATTAATCCCTCTATTATTTTTAATAATCTCCATAATTTCTGTCAACGCATTTCGTCAACAAACTGTGGGTGTTAGAGGTCGTTTAATGTGTGGTAATCAGCCGTTGAAGGACACACAAATTAAGCTTTGGAATAAAAATATTGGTAGGTTAATTAATATAGATATTGACATTCTCTTGCTAGAATGACTGAAATAATTGCCCTAAGATAGCTGTTGATCTAGTCAATCACCTTAATAATGCCCTTGATATTATAAGAAATAAGGGAGAACATGTTGGGCTAGGGTTTAAGTATACACTAAATGATGGAGGTAACATCAGTACCCTGGTAGCTCAGTCGGTAGAGCATCTGTACGTGGTTGAGCGGAAACGCCTAGCTAACTGTAAGGAGGTTGAAGGATTGATGCTGCTCTGATTAAACTCTGCCTCTCTCTCTTAATTAATAACAAGACTAAGCTTCTCCGGATGCATCATCTATCTCCCTACAGCTTTCCATCTTCTATGTTCCCCAACAAACTCTTGTTCTGATTTTTGTTTCTGAAGACTAAGCTTCCCCGGACGTATCATCTCCTTACTTACCTATCTCCCTATGGTCCCCCAGCAAAACTTTTGTTCTGATTTTCATTTCTGATTTAATTCTGATTTTTTTTTCATCCCAAAATTACAATTTAAGGAAGTGATAACCAACTTGCTGCAGTCAAAACCGACAAAAACGGCAATTTTGAAATGCAGGGAGGGGTTGGGCAAATTACTAAAATGGATGTTCATTTTAAAATATATCATGATTGTAATGATGGAATTAAAGTAATTTTTAAGGAAAACTTTAATTTAAAAAAATTATTTTCCAAAATTTTAGCCATGTCAACGGAAAATTGACTTAGGTGGGTATTTGTTTTAGTTAAACAAATTTGACCGTAAATAAAATTTAGCCTAGGAATTTTACATGAATTAAGAAAATTAAAAAGTTAAAAAACCTTATTTTGTTACCTACCTTGTCTACTTGACTAAGAAAATCTAAAGATTGAGAAAAAATAATCTGAACTAACTTAAGAGAAATTTCAATACTATCTTAAAAAGTCGCCTATAAAGAGAGCTGATTAAACAGAATTAGTGCGTGTACCGTCTCTCTTTAGGTAAGAGAGAGAAGGGGAAAACCGCCTATGAAGGTAGTTGATTAAATAGAATTAATATAAGAAAGTCGCTTATAAGAAAAGTTGCTTAAAAAGAATAAAGATCTTCTTTCTCGGACTATTTTCAAAACACGACATGTATAATTTTAAAATTTATTTAGGAGTCCCAGATGAATATATTACACGTTCTGATAGAGTTCAGAAATGGTTTGAGGCGGGTACTATGAATATGGTAAATTATAATTATTTTGTTTGTCAAAAAAAATTTTATTTCAAGGAATTTAAATTTCCAGACGAGGAACGAAGTTGCGTTAATTAAATTAATGAAGGATTTAATCAAAATGTCCAGATTTTAAAGACCCAAGAACGATAAAATTGCCATATAGTATACTGCTTTTATTTTTTTAGAATTTAAATTTGTAATCAGATAAAAAATTAAAAAATTGAGTCCAAATTCAATTTAGCCTATTTATTTCAATATGGCCGGCCAAATTCAATTAGTTTAAAAATCTGATTTTTCAGTTGGCTTTGGATTCCATAAGAGATTTTGTGCTTCGGTGCTTGGGACCGACCTATATTCTACCCAACATTTGAAACAGATAAGTTTCATACTTGGTGAGATATTGATAAAAAAACTAGGGTACGCTATCATTTTGATATAGTTTATGATCATTTGGTATTGGACCATCCATTATGGAGAGGGATTGAGAGGAGCTGGGTTAATTCTTGATATCCTGTGCTATTTGAAATAGTACCTAGGTTCTGAACACCAATAGCAGCCATAGGTTCTGAACACAGAACCTAAAGATTTAGGAAGCTTACTTAATCCTAAGACAAAGAAAACCCCGATTTTAAAATTGATTGAATTTTGCCGGCTAAATTGAATTTTGCCTGAAACTGAAATTTTAACACAGCTCTTTATAAAAATTAACTTCAGCCCAAAAAATAATTTTTTTACAAAACTTTATTTAAATTAATCGGTATTTCATTCTCTTCTTTATTAGCATATTCATCTATTCTCGAATGCGAAAGCAAGGATTTTTGGCTTTGTTCGAATTCCAACGATTTTTGATTTTGTAAGGGGAGGTTAACTCCCTTCCAAGTGCAGGCTAATGAGAGCCATTTTTGTTCTGGAGTTGTTTTTTCTTTAATTAGTAGGCTGAAAGTAACACCAATAATTAGGACTAGAAGTAAGGCTAAAATTTTAGATAAAAGATAGATTAGAAGCAGTTTGAGGGCTCCTCAAAGGAATAACCGGTATGGCAATAACC